AGACCAGACTTGCATTTCGTTTCTGTTGTCCCATTGTTGTGTGACCTTGGGCGGGTCCCAGCCCTCTCTGGGCTTTTCTTTCTTCATCTGTGGATGAGAGCATCTCACAGGTCCTTGCTGGTTCCTACTTTCCCAGAAATCCAGAAGTTCCAGTACTAAACCCTCCCATGAATGAAAGAAAACCAAGGTCATGCCTCATGAAGCTGGGGCTGAGATTAGCCAAGGCCACAAAGAGAAATGCCAACTGACCCGAGTAAAACAGCCCGGCTCTGAGGCTGGGCCACCTGGGGCCCTGGGGGTGGCCTCGAGGAGGCTATTCCTGCCCTGGTCCCCTCTGAGGGTTCACCTGTCATAGGTGGGCTGTCTAACAAGCAGGTGCTGCGGTGGTTAGCAGTGCAGTCAGGAGGGAGCAGTTTTCGGCAGGGAGAGCTGGCAGCCCGGATGCAGACCTGTGCTGCCTCTGCCAGTCCACGGGATTGGAGCAAAGACCACTGCTGGGTGGAGATGGCCAGAGCCTGCGCCCCCGTCTTGCTCAGGCACTAACCGGCCCTTTGTGCCCCTTTCCTCGAAGAGCATGAGTGACCTGGGCTAGAAAGCTGAGGTACCTCCTTGAAGCAGCTGGGCAGCGAGGCCTGTCTTGAAGGGGGATCTGTCCCACCAGGAAGGGGGTAGGCCTTGGGGGAGGAACCTTGACCACCCTGTCCTTTGGCGTGGGAAATCCAGGGATCAGCACCCCCACTCCCTTAGGCCCAGGGAAGGCCTGGTGGGAAGGCTGGATCTGTGGGGAACCACATGTAGCAGATCAGAGCCCAGGGGTGTGTGCGTGTGTGTGTGTGTGTGCGCATGCACATGTATAGGACGTACACAAGTGTGCACAAGGGTGTGTGCCGTGTCCAGTACAGGTGCATGTGCGTGGGTGTGCACATGGGTATATGTGTGGTGTGTGAAGTGTGCAGATGGGTATGTGCCTGTGTGTGTGAATGTATACATATGTGTGTGTATGCACAAGTGCAGTATCCTGTGTCTCACTGGCATTCAGGCTGGGGCTTCCAGCTTCGGGCACCTCTGGCAGGTGGCCAGCATGGTCTAGCTGCCTGGAGTTGGCCCTGTCCTCTGGGAAGAGGACCAGCGGAATAAGGCAGGGCCCATGGGTAAGAGGAGGGCTCTGGGCAGGAGCAGGGCCACTGGGCCACAGTAGGGCACAGGAGTGGCAGCACAGCAAGATCTGGGAGCCTTGACTCTGTGCCGGGCACTGGGCTCAGCTCCTCACTCATATGGTTCATTACTTCCCACAACCCTGGGGCAGGCAGTGTTATTGCACCCACTTCATCCTCAAAGTCGCACAGCTAGTCAGGGGGACATCCAGCCAGTGCATTCATTCTACAGATGTTTTATTGAGCACTTCCTACGTGCCAGGTCCAGTGCATGATGAACAAAACAGGACAAAGTCTGCCTCAGAGGACACGCTAGAGAGTGGGGTTGGGGTTGAGGAGCGTAGCGGTAAGTGAAGCTTGTTGGTTGGTAAAGTTGCTTCAGTTCCTCCTGCCCCAGGCCAGGATTGGCCAGGGGAGCGAGGTGGAGGTTGAGGCTCCAGGTGTGGTCAGGTGGGCCCAGGGCTCAGAGAGGGGAGCCTGCAGGGCCCTTGGCTGAGTGTGTGAGTCAGGATGAGAGGCAGGGCCTGCCTTGGGCCCCCGGCACCTTGAGGCCTTGGTTTCCCTCTGCCCTACCTCCTCCTGGCCTGGCCAAGACAAGAGGCTGAAACCAGACTCTAAAGGTGTTCAGCCTGGGGCGGGGTTTGGGGTCCCTCAAAATGGCAGATGCCTGGTCCCACCCCAGACCTCTCAACTCAGAATCTGTGGGGCCTGCAATCCTGATTCTTGGGATCACCCAGTGATTCTGACCTGCAGCCATTTGGGTGCCTCTGTTAAATCCTCAAGCTGCCTCTAGACCCAGAGTCCTTGCCTAGTCCATCTGTGAAATGGGCAGAGTTGCTGCAGAGTGGTCTTGGGAGGAAGAAGAAAGGGCCTGTCCATTGCCCACCTCCAGCCGCATCCCACACTCTATTCCTGAGCAGGTGGAAGATCTTGGAGGGTGTAGGGTGTATGGGGGACTCAGATAGTTTTTCCAGTTCACATGTAGAAGGCGGCTGTCCCTGTATCTTAGCTTGGGCTCCCTGGGAATGAGCCTCAGGAGTGTGCTGGGTGGAAGGTGCTGGGTGGGAGGTGCTGGGTGCAAGGTGCTGGGCGGGAGGTGCTGGGTGTGAGGTGCTGGGTGTGAGGTGCTGGGTGGGAGGTGCTGGGCAGTGGTCTGAGGGGAAATGTCTGCAAAGGATGAGGGCTGCAGGAGGGTGAGGATGAAGCTGGGCCTTGGGGTCGGGTGGCTGGGTCCCCAGTGAGCCCTTGGGAGCTATAGAGCTGGGGCTTCCTTCATGGAGGTATCCCACATTGGTCAGTCCTGGCTGTGTTCACACTGGGGACTCAGCAGGGAGAGGGGGTTGTGAAGCTTGGGCGATTGGGACGACCTCCCAGTGAAAGGCAGAGCTGAGAGTCACCTGGGCACTGCGATGCCACTGCACCCTGGGCTGCTGTCCACCCCAGGCCTGGCCTTGGGATGCTGTGAGCACCCCAGTTCTGCTGCCCACGCACCGTGCAGCAAGCTGGGGGTTGGAGAAGAGTGGTGGAGGCAGCAGATCCAGGCCTGTGGGCCCTCACCTCCCCATCAAGTCTGGATGCTGGGAAGGGAGAGGGCTCCCCACCCAGACCCTCCCTGAACCCCCTCTCCTTGGAGGCAGGCATTGGCCTCCCTGCAGGCCTGCATCCTCAGGGCCCCCAGACTGCGGATTTCCAGGAGAGAGAAGTTCCTTCATCCTGACCTCCTGCTCTGGAGGACGTGGGGGCTGGGGGGAGGGGCCCAGGAAGCCTCAGCTCTGTCCAGCCCTTCCCCTTGGGCCTGGCAGAAGGTATAGCTGCCCTCGGCAGGTCCAGTGACGCAGGCCAGCGGCGGGGAGGCTGCCCAGGCTGGGGCTAAGCCAGGGCCTGCGGAGGGCCCTCTGTCCAGGCCAGATGGCTGCTGCTCTGGTGGGAGGGGCTGCCAACACCTCCACAGTGGCCTGGCCGGGTTCTCTATGCTTCGCATGTCCGGCGGGGCCTTCAGCTGCTGTGTGCTGAGGGGATGGACTCCCTCCCCGGCAAGTGGGGCTTTGAGGTGCCCACCACCCGCACTGCCTCATTGGGCCCTCTCTCCGCATCCAGGGCCTACCCAGGCCCGCTGAGTCTCACAGTGACACTGACCAAGGCCTTGCAGGAGCCTGGAGGTGGCCTGGGCAGTGGGGCCCTCCCTCGTGACAGCCCCTCCTCTGCAGTTTAGGCTGGTCAACTCTTCATTCCTCCATTCATTCCTCCAACAAACAGATCAAGCACCTGGGACACCCCAGCCCTGTTCTGAGCCCCAAAACTACACAGATGACCAAGATGAATGAGGCCCCGCCCTCCCAAAGCTGACCCTCTACTGGGGAAGACCAGAAAACTAAGAAACAGGTGTCTGGCTGTGTGGTTGAGACAGGGATGCTTTAGGGAAGGCTGCAAAGAGGAGGAGCCAGGTCAAGTTCACAGGGGCGGTCAGGAAGGGCAGAAAGAGCTCCAGGTAGAGGGGAGAGCACGGGGATGTGGGGGGCTGGTGTGTGCTTGTGGCAGTAGGGGGTTTGGTTTGGGGGTTTTGGCCCTTGGGCCGAAACCCCAGCACCTTGCAGGAGCTGGGTTTGACTCTGCGAGACCTTCACTAGGAGAGCAATATAAACATAGCGCACGTGTAGTGGATTCTTTGTCCCAATTTCCTGGCATAGGCCAACCCTTTCCAACTTCCCAATAACCAGATGGTAGTTCCTATTATCCCATTTTACAGACAAGAAAACTGAGGCACCAAACAGATAAGTCATTTGCTCAGTGACATAGTCAGTGGTAGAGCTGGGATTTGTGGTAGGCAGCCTGGCTGTAGAGCCTTAACCACTGAACCACACTGCCTCTTGGGAAAGACCTTCCTCCCCTCCAAAAATGCCTCCTCCGGGAAGCTTTCTCACCCCAGAGTTTGTCTGCTTTGATTAAGCAACATACAAGCACCCTACATGGCCTAAAAGCCTGTAGGGTCCTTAGGCGGTCATCTTGTCCATGCCCCTGCCTCCAGATGGACCTGGTATTATGAATCTCATTTTGCAGATGAGACTACAGAGGCCCAAAGAAGCTTGAACATTACCTAGAGTCAGCGAAGGAGGCCAGGGTCTCCCGAATTCTTCCATCCTGGCCTCAACCTCTCCAACCTGCCTTCTCTTTGAGGCAATTCTAAGGTTGTTCCACCGCTGCCCTTCCCCAGCTAGACAGAGGCCTTCCCTGTGCTCACCACAGGAAGGTGCACACAGTAGGGACATACTCAATGTCTGAAGGTGGAATGGGTGGTGCATAAGGGCATGTGCTGGGCTTGGTGCTGCCCCCTGGGATTCTTGAGCAGAGATGTTTTGCAGAATGCATGTGAGCTGAGGAGTGAAGGATGCTTAGGAATTTTCTAGTGAGTGAGGGAGCCAGGTTGGAGTCTGGAGTGGGAAGTCATCCCTGCTAGAGGGAACAGCATATGCAGAGAGAGGAGAGGACAAGAAACAGTCAGGGGAGATCAAGGTTCCATGCAATCTGCGCGTGGAGAGAAGATGGGCAGTGAGCCTAGGGCGGGTGGCAGGGATGGGGTGGGGGCTGTGTGCCAAGCTGAGAAGCTCCAGCTCTGGATTGGGAAGGGGTGGGGCAGGCAGGGAGAGGGGAATAGCCGCCCAGGGAGCCCTGGATGCAAATCCCAACCTTGCTGCGTGAACTTCTGCAAGTCATAGGCCCACTTGGAGCCTCAGTTTCCCTCTCTTCGTGGTTTGGGGGTGGTGCCTGCTCCTAAGGGTGCTCCGAGCTCTGCACACACTTATGCTGTGGTTGCTGCTCTCTTGCATCCCGACAAACGAGAGGCTCCTCGGGTAGATAGGGAATCTCTTTAATGCCCTGGTTTCTTGTTGCCAGGCATGGCTTTGCTCTGCAATATCCCACCAGGCCTTCGAGAGGCATGTGTCCCAGGGGCTTCAGTTCACAAGGGTGCCTGGGTTGACATGCTCTTTCTTACTTTCAAACCCTTCCTCTTGTGGACCCCCCCCCCCACCAGGGCAGGCTGGTGTCATGGACCTGGGCCTGGGCATGGACACAGCCCAGCTCTGAGTGTGGGGCCATCAGGGGCCGAGTGAAATCAGCATGGCCGTTGGCATCAGTGGCATCAGCTCCTCTGAGGCCCCAGGAGGGATGGACGGCAGCTCATTAGGATCCAAATTGGCATCACTCCAGCCCTCAGAGCTATCACTGCAGTCCTCAGGAGTGGTGGCTTCATTCTCAGATATGGTGACAGTCTTGGCAGTGTCTTCTCCAGGGTTGCTGTCTAAGTCCCCCGCCCCTTGGCTGGTGTCCCTCTCAAGTATGCTGGCTGTGTGGGCATCTGCTGCACCCTCCTGCTTCTGCCTAGAGCCAGCTGAAGGGGCACGGCAGAGCCCAGGCGTCTTGACTCTGCCCTGGCCGGTCCAGAAGAGGCTGAGCTCTCGGTGGCAGGCAGCCACAGCCAGGCTGGTGAGCAGGGTGCTGGGCACTAGGTAGAGCAAGGCAGGCTGGGCCATCTGCATGAGGACCATGGCCATGAATGTGAGCAGCAGGCCCACGGCATAGGCCACGGTGCAGGCTGCAAAGTAGACCTGCCGGGAGCAGACTTGCACATCGAAGCGGCGACAGTAAGCCACCAGGAAGCCGGGGACCACAATGTCACCAAAGCCAAGGATGGAGAAGGGCTTGTCACACAGGGTCAAGGCGGAGACTCTTAGCCAGGGCACTCTGAGCACCATGGGCAGCTTCTCGTGGCTGAAAGACTCTGCAGGGCCCGTGACGACCTGCACCATGATGCTCTCAGCAGTCTTGGTGAAGAAGGGAGTGATGAAGACGAAGAAGACGTCAAAGGCCAGCAGGGCCAGCAGGAAGGAGGAGCAGTTCTTGACAGTGAGCAGCCGCACGCGGTGCAGGATGAACAGGCAGCAGGAAATGCCCAGCGCGTCCTGCAGGAGCCACGCCCAGGAGTCCTCGTTGCGGCAGCCCACCCAGAAGATGACCACCATTGTGCACAGGATCGCCAGCAGCAGGGGCAGCGGCAGAGAAGCCTGGAGGCCGTGTGGAGGCCTCTGGTATTGCTGCAGGAGCAGGCGGCACACCAGCGGTGACAGGCAGCTGTAGAGGCCAGTGCCAGCACCCAGGCTGAAGATCCCGGTCATGACGTAGACAAAGTAATCATAGCAGACGTAGAGCAGCAGCATGAGTGAGCAGGACACAGTGACCACCGTGCCCGTCATGGCCGGCGTGAAGTCCACCGGGATGTCCTCATCGTCTTTCTCCTGGGCTCCCTCAGCTGCTGCTGCTTCTGGCGGTGGGCGGTGACCGCCAGGCCCCCCTCCTCCTCGGGCACGGTGCCGCTGTGTCCTGTTGGCTTTGGTCAGGCCGGCCCAGTAGCCGCCTGCGGCCACTGTGCCCACAGCCAGGATGAAGATGACCAGCATGTTGTAGTCGACGATGGGCTCGGGGGGCGCATACATGGCGACACGGACCACAGCCCCCCGACGAGTGTGGCTTAGGATGTCCAGCATGTCGGCATAGTGGAGTATAGCCATGGGGATGGTGAGGTTTGGCAGGGGCTGGTGGGGGTCCTGGGGCACCGGGGTGGTGTCTGAGCACTGTTGGTCGCTGACCCGGCTCACAATGAGCAGCCCATGGGCACCATGGCCCTGAGCCAGCCAGCCTTTGGTGTGGAAGCTGCAGTTGCCCCCCATGACCATGGCGGTGGTCTGGCAGAGGGGCCGCTGGCTGGGGGAGCCGGACTGGGCCTGGTGGAGGGAATCCTCACCTGGGCACCAGGCTACCTTGGTGCCATCATACAGGGGCAGGAGCGGGGTGTGGTCCAGGTCCTGGGGGAGGGTGATGTAATGGGAGCTGAACCGGATACAGTAGTCCTTGCTCCAGTTCTCCGACACCACGTGGACCACGCCATACTCTCCCCAGGCCACAGTGCTGATGAGGAGGAGAAAGCCCATGGCGGGGAGGAAGCTGAGGCACACCATCCTCCTCAGCTCCCACTGCAGTGTCCCAGGGCGGCAGCCCAATCCCCCTCCCAGGAGTGGGCATGGTCTTTGTCACAAAGCAAAGGACCAGGTAGGCCCTTTATGACTAGGTAGGTGTGGCCCTGGAAACCAGGGCCACACCTACCTAGTCATAAAGCTGTGGGATCCCCAGCCAGGGTCCCCAACCCTGCTGTGGGGCACAGGGTTCCTCTAGAATGATATCCCCAATCCTGGGAGATCACGGGAGAGATCATCTGGACCCTGCGGTCCGCCCAGACCCTAGTGGGGTTAGACCAGGTACTTTGAAATAAAAGGTGTGAGGACGGGGTCTGCAGGCCAGATAGGATTCTGAACCAACTTTGTCCCTTACCCATGGGGGACCCAGGCCAATGTCACTCCTCTCTGGGCCTGTTTCTTTCACTGTAAAGAAACAAAGACACAAAGACGTTGGGCCAGAGAGTTTCTAAGGTCCCACTGAGCACCTGTATGAGCGCTTACTAGGTGCCAGGAGCCATGGCTGTACCTATTGCACAGCTGCAAGGCAGTGTCATTGTAACTGCCCAGCCCCAGGCTGTCCCTCAAAATTGGTCCCCCTTTCTACCAGGCACATGACCGGAATTCATCGCCAACCCCACTTGCAGTTGGGAACGGCCACGTGACCAAGTTCTTGGCAGGAGAAATTGAGCAAAACTGATGTGAACTCTTTACATCGGGGGCATAGGCTGCCAGACTGTGGGGCTCCTTGTTTACCCTGTTTCCCTTTCTCAGCAGTCAGAACAAGGACAGGCCTGTGATGCGTCTGTCTATGGCGAGGAGGACAATGTCCCAAGGAATGGAGAGGAAGAAAGTGAAGGGAGCCAGGTCCCTGGATGTCCATGTGGCACAGTAGCCCAGGATGAGCACTGTGGCCTGTTACAAGATAGAGAGAGGGGCATGATCTTCCTAACGGCATTGGTTTATCATGGGTCTCTTTATTATAGAAGCTTAATTTTACCTTAATACACCCACTTCATGGATGAGTAAAACTGAGGCTTGGAGAAGCCCAAACTGACACAGCAAGGAAGGCTGGGGCTCTCGTGCTGGTGAAATCGCTGGACCTTGATGTCTCCCAAATGTTTCATGCTGGATTCTGAGCCACTCTCTTGGCTGCAGCTCTGAGGCTGGGCAGACTTCCTGCTGGAAAGAGAACTTGAACACTGGTGAGGGCTGGATTTGAAGCCGGGAGCCAAGTTCTGGCTCTGCAAGTTCGCACCCAGCTCTGTGGTACATGCTCTCACATGTCACCCAGGGCCTCCTGTGCAGGCTTCTGCAGGCCACGCGTGATGGAGGAGAGTTGAAGAACAAGGTTTTCAAAGTAGTTAGTGTGTGAGAGAGTAACCCTGGGGCCCCCGGCGGGGGAACCAGAGGGAGGGATTTGGGGGCTGGAGCTTGGCAGTCCGGGTTCCATTGTCCTCACATTCTCCCCGCTGGCCTGGCCTGCCACTTGTCTCTGCTTAGGTTGTCACACGATATTCTCCCTGTCTGTCTCTGTGTCTCTCCTCCTCTTCTTATAAGGACATGGTCATGATGGATAGGACCACCCTAATGACCCATCTTCACTTGATTATGTCTGCAAAGACCCTATTTCCAATAAGGTCACATTGAGAGGTGCTGGGGGTTAGGACTTCAACATGTCTTTTTTGGGGCACGATTGTGGGCAGCCCCACAACACACATGTAATTTTAACCTCTAAGGGGTAAGCATGCTGATTTTTTTTTTTTTTTTTGAGACAGGGTCTTGCTCTGTTGCTCAGGCTGGAGAGCAGTGGCATGATCTCAGCTCATTGCAACCTTCACCTCCTGGGTTCAAGCAATTCTCCCCTCTCAGCCTCCGAGTAGCTGGGATTACAGGCATGTGCCACCACACCCAGTTAATTTTTGTATTTTTAGTACTGATGGGGTCTCATCCTTTTGCCCAGGCTGGTCTTGAACTCTTGGCCTTAAGTTATTCGCCCACCTCAGCCTCCCAAAGTGCTGGGATTACAGGCGTGAGCCACTCTGCCTGGCCAATCACTGATCTTTCTCAAGGTCTCTCCTTCTTCTTCTTCTTCTTTTTTTTTTTTTTGGAGATGGAGTCTTGCTCTGTCCCCCAGGCTGGCTGGAGTGCAGTGGTGCAAACTTGGCTCACCGCCACCTCCACCTCGAAAGTTCAAGCAATTCTCCTGCCTCAGCATCCCAAGTAGCTGGGATTACGGGTGCATGCCACCAGACCTGGCTAATTTTCATACTTTTGGTAGACATGGGGTTTCACCATGTTGGCCAGGCTGCTCTCGAACCCCTGACCTTATGTGATCCACCCATCTTGGTCCCCCAAAGTGCTGGGATTACAGGCGTGAGCCACTGTGCCTGTCAAGGCCTCTCCTATTACAGGTTCATCTCTTGCAGCCCCACCTTTGTTCCTTGGGAAATCCACAGGGATGAAATATCTCCAACAGCAGCGGTGGACTCTTTGAAGTGGATGGCGAGTTTAAAGGACCCTGCGAAGTGGTCAGCAAGCAGAACCCGTCTGAGATCCTGACAGTTCTTTCCCACCCAATTATTTACACTTGTCTCACCCACACCTAATTTGCCAATATTTTTGGCATTTGCAAAGTATCCTTCAAAGCATTTGACTGAATTTTCATAAGAAACATCTCTCCTTGTTAGTGCACTTCTGATTCATCAGTAATATAACATTTAGTTAGATTACAACAGTAATTACAATGACAAGCGAACTGTCGGAAACATGTTCGGGAACAAATACAAGTGACTGGAGAACAAACGGCCAGCCGGTGTGAGGAGAAGCGGGCAGAGCCCAGGGGAGGAGGCTGCCAGCTGTCCCTTCTGAGTGCTCCCATTTCAAAGGAGAGGTTGGCCAGGAGTGTGGTTAGGAGAGGAAGGCTCGCCTCTAGGGTTCTTATCACAGACTACAGCAGTGTCTGAACTGGGTGGAACTGTCTGAATCCAAGCATGTAAATGCTGGGCACAGCAGGGGAGGCAGGGCAGGCAGCCCCTGACGGAGGGCTGTGATAAACTGTTTCTGGCCCCAGCCACAAATGGGCAACCTAGACCCTCACTTGGAGCCTTGTTCTCCACACAGGGTCGTGGATCTTTTAAAAAACAAGAACCGGCTGGGTGCAGTGGCTCACCCCTGTAATCCAAGCACTTTGGGAGGCTGAGGTGGGTGGATCACCTGAGGTTGGGAGTTCGAGACCAGCCTGATCAACATGGAGTATAAAAGAAGCCGGGCGTGGTGGCGCATGCCTGTAATCCCAGCTACTCGGGAGGCGGAGGCGGGAGAATCACTTGAACCCGGGAGGCAGAGGTTTCGCTGAGCTGAGATTGCACCATTGCATTCCAGCCTGGGCAACAAGAGTGAAACTGTCTCAAAACAACAACAACAAAAAACAAAAACAGAAAAAACCCCAAGAACCAACACACCCACTTTGTCATAAAACCCAGACAATCACAAGCTTTGCCGAGGATGCAGGGAAACTGGGACCCTCATACTCTGCTGGTGGGAATGTAAAATTGTGCAGCCGCTGCAGGAAACAGTCTGGCGATTCCCAGGTGAGTTAAACAGAGTTACCACATGACCAGCACTTACACTCCTGCATATATGTCCAAAAGAATTGAAATCAGGTGTTCAAACAAAAGTGTGTACATGCATGCTCATAGCAGGACGATTCATAATAACTTGAACGAGTGGAGAGAACCCCAATGTCCGTCGGCTGATGAATGGAGAAAGTGCAGTCTCCCCACTCAAGGGAATAGCACTCAGCCATAAGAAGGAGTGAGGTTTTCATACCTGCTACCATGTGGACGGACCTCGAAAACATTATGCTAAGTGGAAGCACATTATGTAAATGAAAGAAGCCAGACACAAAAGGACACATATTGTACGATTAATTCTGCTTATATCAAACAGCCAAAACAGGCAGCTCTATAGAGCAGGTTCATGGTGGGCAGAGGCCGGGGGAAGGGAGAAGGGGGATGACTGATGGGTATGGGGTTTCCGTTTGGAGTGTGAAGAAGTTCCGGAACGTTTTCTATCTCAGTGGTGACAGTTGCACAACACTGTGTATTTAAAGTCACTGAATTGCGCACTGACATGGTTGAAATGGGACTTATTTTTTTTTTGAGATGGAGTTTTGTTCTTGTCCCTCATGCTGGAGTGCAATGGCACAATCTCAGCTGATTGCAACCTCCACCTCCCTCATTCAAGCGATTCTCCTGCCTCATCTTCCCAGGTAGCTACAATTACAGGCACGTGCTGTCAAACCTGGCTAATTTTTGTATTTTTGGTAGAGACAGGGTTTCACCATGTTGGCCAGGCTGGTCTTGAACTCCTGACCTCAAGTAATCCACCCACCTCAGCCTCCCAAAGTGCTGGGATTATAGGCATGAGCCACTGCGCCCAGCCAAAATGGGACGTTTATGTGTATGTTACCACAATTTAAAAAATAAAACAGAACAAGGAGCAACTCCTGTTCCCTCCAGCTGCTCTCTCCACGGGACGGGTCTTCATTTTAGTTCTCCTGGACTCCATCAGACCAGCACATGCCCCGATTTGGGGGTCTGCACGGATGCCTCAATCAGAGCTTGCTCCTTTCCCTTCTCCCAGATCGACCTGTGGACTGGTTTCCTGGGGCCCAGAGAATTCTCAGAAGGCTCCCTCTACCTGTAATAACCTAACCTGGGTTAGCCTAACTGACTCCATCTTAGCCTGAGAAGCTCTCTGGAGCTTCTCCCTCCCTGCTGCAGCCCCTCAGGGGCATTACTGGGTCATGCTGCACTCAAAGCTTGGAGCCGTTAAGAGTGGTTCACGCTGTTCATAGGCCTGCAGCCACTGTAACCGCATCCTGCTTGGCTAGTCTACCTGATTGTGGACACCTTCCTTGGTGATTGATTCTATGGAAAGTTCTCCCGCTATCCCCCTTAGTGATTGTATGGAAACACCCTTAGCAACTGGGAACCTCCTGCCCCCTGGTTACCAGCCTCCTCCTACTAACTTGCTTGTTCTGTTTCTGTAAAATTCCGCTTCAGCTAGGCTGCCCCCTCTCTCCCTAAATCAAAATATAAAGGGAAATCAAGCCCATTCCTCGGGGCTTGATTTTGAGCATTAGCTGCCTCTCGGTGGCGGGCTCAATGAAGGACTGATAATTTGAACTCAGAGCGTGGCATTTCTTTCTAGCTCACTTGGGTACAACGCGCCAAGGTGCTGCCTGGGACCCCGCTCGCAGAAGGCTCTCACAGGTCTGATCACTGCTTCCCCAGGTCCCCATGCCCCTGCCCAACCCCATCCATCAGCCCTGGAATCACTCTTCCAGTGGCCACTTGGAGCCCTGGTCAGTGCCTTCACATGAGTGCCCCTTGAGGCCATGGCCCGCTGCCAGGCTGCAATCCTCCCCCTAGACGTCAGCACTGCCACCCTTCCCACCTCCACGGGCCTCCAGATTCAACCCCTTTCCTGGAGGGCACCCTTGACCTCTGTGACTTTGCTCCCTGCAAATTCCCCCACTCCCCTCCCTACTGCCCCCTTAACTATGGCCTGGGCTCTTGGGGTGGCTGCTCAGAGCAGGCTGGGGCAATGTCTCTGCCTTCCACTTGAAGACCTAGGTGCCCCTGGAACATTGATCTTTATCACACAGCGCAGCAGGGGCAGCAGACCCCGGGCAGTGGGTCCCAGGAAGGGTGGGAAAGGGGCCCAGCTCACCTGGCCCCTCACCTGCCCTTGCTGCCCTGCCCAGCACCTTCTCTGCTGCGTGTTCTAGAGTGGATCGTCATCCACTCCCTCCCCGCTCCCCTGGGATGAGAGTGAGACAGGCAGGCCACCGGTTGCTGCCCCCGTGACCCCCACCCTAGCTGATGCCCACTGTGCCCCCATGCACCCTCACCCTAGCTGATGCCTGCCATGCCTCCATGTACCCCCACCCTATCTGATGTGTGCCATGCCCCCAACCTGGGCTCCTTAGGCACCTAAGAGGTCCCTGCTTCTGCCCCACCTGCCTTGGCCCAATGGGCAGTGAGGCTGGGCAGAGGGATGAATCCAGGACCCCTTGGAGGGACAGAAGCTGGTAGGGTTGCTGTTGGTGGCCAAGGGCAGTCTCCGGCATGATCTCCAATGACGGTGTCATTGGTGTTCCCAACACACTGAGAGCTTTGACAAATGTACGCGGCCCGGGCGTTGCTTGAGTCTGGGCTGCCAGCAGGACCTGCAGGGGTTGGTGAGCTGAGGGCAGGGGTAGGGGGCGATGCTCTGAGGTAGAGCAGGGATGGGGCTGGGGATGGGAGACTGGCAGCTAGAGCTGGCTCCGATTCCTTCAGCTAGTTCATCTCTGAATGCTGTTTGACCACAGGCTGGAGATGGAAGGATTTCCCTGGGGAGGGGATTGGAAGGGGCAGTGGGGCTGGGAGGACAGACTCAATAACAACTCCCACTGCCTAGGAGTTAAGCTTCATGGAAGCCTAGTGTGGCCTCCCTGGCTTTTCATCCAGCCGTGGGTGCTATCAGGCAGGTATCTTAACCTCTCTGGGCTTTATTTGCTGTATCTGTTAAATGGGGATAACAGCCCTGCCTCATTAACACGTGCAGGGCTCAGCAGCACGGAGGCCCGATAAACAGTCAATGATGACCAGTGTTGCTGTTAGCAAACTGTAGAAAGCGTTCCCTTCTGTGTTTGAGGCAAGTGTGGGCAGCTGAGTTTGAAGTCAGTTGGAAGTTTGGATAAGGAGATTCTGAGATAGCCGTGGGCTGCAGGCCAGTGGCACTCTCTCTGGTGGGGTGCAGGGAGGCCCACCATGGCTGAGGGTGGCCTGGGCTGCGCTGTCTGAAGTTCAGCAGCATTTTAAGGAGTGGAGGATGTCGGGAAGCTGGGGAAGGAGATGCTGGATCCACAGAACCCCCACTGCTTCCACGCAGCTGGGCTCAGCCGCTGGACATGGTGAGGCCATCTTTAGAGAAGTCCCATCTCCACGTGGGGCATGCTCCAGATTGGCTGAGGCCCTGAGGCCTCCTTGCTGCCCTCTTGCCACAGGGCTTTTCACTGGTTCTGGCCTCCCAGAACCCCAGCCCCAAAGACTTCAGTTCACTGAGGGGTGAAAAGAGCCTTAGACTTGGACCAGACCTTCAATTTCAGGGGAGCTGCCAGGCCTGTTTCTCTGGCTGCAAAATAGGTGGGTTACGACGTCTGTGGGCTAGCTGAGAATTCGAGGAAAAATGGTATAAAGGAGTCTGTGGATGGCAAAGTAATCTGCAGTACCCACAATGAAGGTGTTATTCTGTGGATTCTTCCCTCCGAACACATGGTTTTCCCGGATCTGACTCCACACCTGGTCCTGGTCCCAGGACAGCTGAGCCATCAGTAGCAGGGGCCAGAGAGGAGGCCCGGAAGGGAGGCCGAGGACCCCTGGGCAGGGGCTGTGTTGTCACACTAAGGGACAGGAGGGGAGGCCGGAACGGCACCCAGGCGAGCAGGGCTTTTCCTCCACTGCTGTTCTGTGCCCATGAGGGAGGGTATCAAGGACAAATGGGCTTAGGAGGGGGCAGCGTTCGGAGACCGCAGCCTTTGGGCATGGTGGGGAGAGAAATTCTTCCTGGCATGAGGCATTCTGGGTCTTGGAGGCCCCCAGTGGCTCCCCTCGTTTTGTGTAGTTGCACGTGTGTTTGTGGGCACACCACACCCCGCTCAATCCTAGAGGGGCCTCCCCACCCAAGCGGAACCTGAGCAGAGTGGCCCAGACGCCTGGTCTCGGGGCTGCCTTCTCTGAAGGGGCGGAAGCCCAGAGCAGACATCTGCCATGGGAGGTAGAACTCCGGGCTTCTGGGCTGCAGGTTTTGAGGCTCAGATGTTCCCAGGTGTGTCCCGCAGCTGCTCTGCCCTCAGATTCTCTGAATGGGAGGGAGCCCAGGCTCCATCTGCCTGCCCAGTGGTTCCCTCCAGCTTCTCCCATGACCCCCTGCCTTGTCTTGGAGCTGTCCTCTTGGTGGCTTTCCACAGCCAGAGACTCTGAGCTTTGTGCTTTCTTGGGGTTCCTGGGGTCCCCCTGGGGTGGCTGCTCACCTCCCACTCACCCACCACCCAGCACAGTGCTGAGTGCAAGGTAGGTGCCCAGAGGGTGTCTGGCAGCGAGATCAACCAGGAGGCCCGTGCGGCCTGGCTGGGCTTGTGCACGCCTCGTCTGTGCTGTCCCCAACCCCTGCCTTTTTGACTCCTCCACCCCGGGTGAGCCCCCCATCCCATCCCCACCAGAGTTGTCTCCGGAAAGCCTTGCCTTCTCACCTTTCCCTGTTCACTGGGTGAGAGGCAGTCGGGAAGCTGTCTCTGTTGTGCCCGCTAGAGACTCAGGTCACTTCTGGTCTCTCCAGGCAGCCAGGACCTTTTACTGGGCTTCTCTCCGATCCCCACAATACCTCCCCAAGTTGCTCTGGAACTCTCCAGCCTACCTCTGTCATGGCGCTCCCAGGGTCCCCTGCTCCATCTCTCTACTTTGGGGCACAGAGCTTGGAGAACCGGTGGAGCAGAGTACTCCATAGGGCCTTCGAGGATATCCTTAGCTACCCACTGGCCCAGGCCCTCCCAGTGAGACCTGCCCTCTCTCAGCAGGAGCACTGGGGCTCTTGGCACTGTGTCGCCTGTCTGTTCCTGGTATCCTCAGACCGCGAGCTCTTATGTGTGCCTGGGTGCACGTGTGCATACATGCCCCCCACCCATGGGACCCTCCTCCCTGGTTAGTATTCCTGTGTCCCACCCACACCCCCTACCCCTCCGTTACAGCACACACTGCAGTGCCTGGAACTCTCTGTGGCCGTGTAGATGTGGGAATGCTCCCCTGGGAGCAGCCCTCAACCTGTGGCTGATGGGAGGGGGTGGATAAACACCCCAGCTCCCTTGTCCCCTCGGCTGGGATGAAGAAGGGCTTCCCCAGCAGAAGGGAGCTCCAGGCGCCCACAACAGTGCTGGAGTGTCAGTCCTGTCCCAGAGGTCACTCAGGGCTGCAAGCTCTGCCCGAGTTGGGGGCACTGAAGCGGGCAGCCCAGGGGAATGTGCCACCCACCTCAGAGCAGCACTGGCAGGGGCTGGGGCATACCTGGCTCTTGCTCACAGGCCACTGTGTCTCCCTTCAGCCCCTACCTTTCCCCTGCCTTCCTTGCCTGGCTTCACTCCCTGTCACCTTCCCTGTACTCCCCTTCCCTCAAGTTCACACAAGAAAGATCAGGGTCTCAGGGATGGCCTCTTGCGGGGAGCAAGTGGAGACAGCTACGGTCATGTCCTGTCCAGCGCCCAGCTTCCTAACTCCACTTCCCGCTTCTCAGCTCAGCTCCTGCCTGGGGCTGGGACACACTCGTGTCCTTTGTTCCAGCTGTTCCTTCCCCTCAGCCATGCTGTCCCTCCTCTGCATCCCTAACCTTGGTCCTACTCTCCCTCCAATTCACCTCCTCACAGTGAGCTGTCCCTAACTAAGGGGGCCCTGGCCAGAGCCACCTGCTCCTCAAAGAGCTCCCTCCTGCCCTCACCCTTCTCCCAGCCTTCAGGGGCTCTCCTGGCACCATCCTTGCTGGGGTTAGAGGGGGCAGGTTTCCCAGCAACACACCAGCCCCTGGAATCTGGGAAATGGCCCCACTTCTGTGACACACCCTCTCCATCCAGCTCCCTGTGGAGTCCAGGCTTCACAAATGCTGGTTGAAAAGATAAATATTATTTATACCAGCCACCCACCTCACAGCTGACACCCTCATCTTCTAGTGTCCCCCAAACCCTGCTCTGGCTGTCCAGTCCCTCCAGACATGGGCAGCTCAGTGGGGGCTGGGCTGGTCACACCTGGAGTATAAGCAGCACGCTGTCCCAAGAGCCACTTGGGCAAGGGCCTTCTCCTCGCTTGCTTAGCTAGTGGTCCTGCCCCAGAGGCCATCCGGGGCCACAAGCTCTGGCACAGATGCCGGGGCTCAGACGTGCCTGGCTCTTGCTCACAGGCCACTCTGACCCCTTCAGCCCCCATCTTCTCACAAAAGAGGAAACCCGGGGGCAGGAGGTGATGGTTGTGGGGTGAGGACGATGTAAGGGGAAGCTGGCCTGGCCTGCAGGGTAGTTAATGTTCAGGGTGAAGGCAGCAAGGCAGGGCATTGCTGGTGGCAGTGCCACAGTGCCAGTGAGGTTCTGGAGGCCTGGAGGGTGACTCTAGTGCTGCGGCCCCATGTCTGATGATGACACCTGACTTCTGTCTCCAGGACTCCTGAGCAAGGGCCCTTGGTTCCCAGTGGTGTCAGAAGGCATCGCCGAGGTTCAGAGGCATCATCATGGTGAGTCAGAGGCTGTCACGAGTTGCCCATGAGGCCCTGGGGCAGCGAACAGCCTCCCCACAGATGCCGAGGTCAGCCCCAGGCCCCAGTAGGCTGGCCTTCTTGTGCTCTGGGAGAAGACAGCCTTGGAGGGACATGTGTGCTGCTGTGGGTGTCCAGCGCCGCATGTCAATTCATTCCCATGTCCCTTCTCCAGGGAGGATCGGGCAGGGAAGCCAGAGGCCCTGGGCCTGGCCCAGTCCTGTAGATGACTTTCCACTCATGAGCTAGAGGTACTGCACAGCTGCAGGGGAGAGTGGAACCCCCAGGCTGTCAGTGCCAGCTACTCCTGGGGGAGTGGGCATGAGATTTAACAGGTCGCCTCCACAGACAGGGTGGTCCAGGAGCCTGGCCGTCATGCTCCCAGCCACAGCTCTTGGGGGGCTGCTCTGCGGCCTGCCAGCTCAGACTGCCGTGGACTGCTTGATGCTGTGAAAGCTGACACGGGTGGGGGAGGTGGGGATGGACATGGCTCGGGCCACCCGGGCGCGGATTGAGTGCTTGTCCTGCCACCGGTGCCACCTCTTCCGGATGGCAGAGCGGACCTGCAGGCACAGGGAAGAACACAACATTAGCCTGGGGCTCAGGACCCCCTCCCTCCTCTGGGCTGCCACAGGCAGCTGTGCAGGTGAGCTGAGCACACGGAGGTAGCAACACTCACACCCTTAACACGGCTGCTTTGCACGTTTGTCAGAACAGGTTTCTAAAGTGCACTGGGGAAGGGACATCCTTTTCCAACTCACACGACGGCACCGTATGCCCTTTGCCCTGAAGGCTCCCTACCCTCAACCCACACGCATCCCCTGCCCAGGGCTCCTCCTTTCCTGGTTCTCACAGGCTCATCAAGGAGACTGGAGCCCTGGCTTCTGGCCTGGTGCCAGCTGCCTCTGAGAGCAAAGAAGGGGCTGTCTTGTGGGAGTGGACAGGTGGAGGGGGGATCGGCCTGGGGCTCCCAGCAGCATCACCCTAGGAGGAGCAGGGAAGAGAGAGCCAGCCCTGGAAGGGGAGGAGAAGGCTCTAGATAATCTCTGGCCCCAAAAGGCTTTGCCACCCTGAGCCCCGAGGCAGGTCCCGTGGTCCTCACCTCACTGTTGAGGAAACAGTAGAACACAGACACGAAGAAGCCCTGGGGAGGAGAGAGGAGGCGTCAAAGCCTGGCTGCAGGTGTCGCCCACCCAGCCTCTAGGCTACCCCTTGCTTCTCCCTGGCCTCCTGCCCTCCAGGCCTCTGCTTGGGAGAATCCCCACCCAAGGAGGCGCCAATGTGGCCCTCCAGGGCTGTACCTGGAAGGACTCCAGGAATGAGTTGAAGTAGATGAAGACGACCCGGGATACCTCATCCTCCCCGGGATTGACGAAGAACAGCATGTAAGTGATGCCCAGGAGGGGCAGCAGCACCAGAGTGGCCTTCACAGCCTTCCTGGGGTGGGGCAGGTGGGGAGGCTCAGAGTCACAGCCCACCCCAGGACAGAGCCGGGTCGGGGGAGGGAGTGGCAGGTCTCTGGCATGTGAGAGGCATGGGGAGCAGGTTTTTATCAGGAAGGACTGCCAGGCCTGTGGGAGGCGGTACCCAGTTACCTGTACTGAATGGTCTCAGATGTGGTGGACGCCCGGAGCTTGGTCATGAGGATGCGGACGATGTTGAAAAGGAATATGAAATTGATCTGCAATTTGAGCACACCAGCAGGCCGGAGTGTGCAAGAGGCTGGAATGCAGCCTTCTCAACTCTTGCCTCAGTGCTCCTACTGTTCTCCCTCCTCCTCAAGAGCACCTGCACATCCCCAGCCCATGCCCCCTGTTTGTGTGGCCCCCACCTCTAGGCAGAGGGGTCTTTTTGGTTCACAGTTAGCACTGATTGCCCCTCTCCACTGGGCTCTGTTTCCCACCCCTACCCAGGTTCTTACCAGCAGGACCAAGATCATGGGGCCCTGGTAGATGTAGTCGGTGTACACCCCAGGCCTTTTGCCAAACCAGCACCTAGAAGGCCACAGAGGAAAAGGGAGGAGGGGTCATTTGCGTCCACCTCAGTGGCATGGGGAGGCACATAGCTTGGCCAGGACAGGACTGGGGCTGGAGGCCAGGAGATAGACGCCCCAATTCCAACCCTGGGAGAAGGTCAAGTCACTTGATTCCACTGCTGTGCCTCAGTTGTCCCATCTGCAGAATGGACAGCATCCTCTGCAATGACATGCAAAGTTGGAAGCAAGCACTGGGGCAGGAGGGGGACAGTGGGAAAGACTGAGTGGCCGGAATGGTTATCGGCCCAACACAGCCTGCGTCTTCAGCTCCCCCTCACAGTCCCCTAGCTGTGGCTGAGGCCCAGCATGGCCTCTGGGGGGCTGCTGGTGGGAGTGGCACCACACCCGTCACCCAGTGGGCACCCAGCAGTTCACAATCTCGGCCTGAATCTGTCTAATCGCGGACTAAACGACCTTGAGAGGATCACGTGCACAGGTCCCACCTGCTGCAGGAGGTAATCGCTTTGCTTTTTCCCGAGCGTCCCTCCAGCAAGCTCCAGGGAGGCCTGGGGACCAGACAAACTGGAAGCCCGTAAGTCCTCATGGGTAGGAACCCCCAGTGGCTAGATCTCATAAGCCAGAAATTGAGATATGTATATAAAACCTTGGGACTTTTTAAAGATTGGCTACAAAATGAAGTTTTCAGAAAACACCATGCCAGCCAAACACAACTTCTGAGGGCCAGTCGAGTCCTTGGACCTCTGGCCGGCAAGGTTTTTCTGCTTTCTCACACCCAGATCCTCTCTGTTGCAGTGTTGAATTCTCACCACCAGGTGGGGCTTCAGAGCCGCTCAGACCCCCTTTCTCCTTTAGCTCAAACAGTTTTTGTTTTGCTTTGTTTTTTGAGATTTGTGCAGTCTCACTCTGTTGCCCAAGCTGGAGTGTAGTGGTGCAGTCTCAGCTCACTGCAACCTCTGCCTCCTGAGTTCAAGAGATTCTCCTGCCTCAGCCTCCTGAGTAGCTGGGACTAAAGGCATGCAACAGCATACCCTGCTAATTTGTGTATTTTTTTAAGTAGATGTGGGTTTCACCATGTTGGCCAGGCAGGTCTGGAACTCCTGACCTCAAGTGATCTGGCCACTTGGCCTCCAAAACTGTTGGGATTATAGGCGTGAACCACCTTACCCGGCCCCAAGCATTTTTTGAAACCAGTTTCCCCACCACCTCCTGTACTCACACGCACACATCTGCAGGCACCACCACTCAGGATTTACAGTGCTCCTGCTCTGGGACCCAGGCCTCCCATCCAGGCTGGGCCCCCACCTTTCTGGCTGTGCAAATGCAGTGAGAGCCAGCCGGGCCTGAGTCAGGAGGGAGTCACCCTCAAAAGGATGCAAGATAATGTTCCAGGCTCCTCATCCAGCCCAGTGAAGCTGTGCAGGCCCCGTTCCCTCCATGGGGGAGGAGAGGGCTTGTCACTGTGATGGAGGGCACTTGGACTCCAGGTCAGACAGGTTCCTGGGAACACTTTGTTTGGCAAAGAACATCCTGGGGCTCCACTGCCATCCATGTCCACCTTTTCTGCCCCCCTCTCTCAGTGGTTTTCAATTTTAGCTGCACATTAGAATCACCTGGGCAGTTTTAACGAAGTCTGGGTGCCAGGCCACACCCCAGACCAATTACACCCAACTCTCTGGGGGCGGAACGTGGGCACTGGTACTTTTTGAAGCATCCCAGGTGATTTTAATGTGAGCAAGATTGAGAACCATTGCAGCAGAAATCAGCTTTTCAGGCATGATTGAAAACATCTGAGTCTGTTTCATAAGGAACCAAAGAACTTCAGAGCTGGAATGAGCCTCTGAGATCATGTGGGTCCATTTCTATTAAATTCGCAGCATCTTTTATTAAGACATCTTAATATAAATATAACACGTTTATACAGCATTTGCTCTATGTGCCAGGAACTATTCTAAATGCTTAATACAGATTAACTCATCACCCCACAATAGCCCTTTGAGGCAATAGCACATCCATTTTACAGATGAGGAAACTGAGGCACACTGCAGCAATCAGTGCAAGGTCACACAGCTATTTAATGATGGAACCATGATTCTGAACCTGGGAAGTCTGGCTCCAGGCTGCTTCCTGCGAAGCAGAGGAGGCTGGGTCCTGCTTGTCCAGCCCCACCTAGGCAGAGCACAGGCAGGGACCCTCCGATTGAGTCCAGCCCCCAAATCCCTCCCTTTATAGATGCAGAAAACCATGGTCCTGACAGGAAAGGCGGCATGGCCCAAGGCCCTTGGAGACTGTCACCAAGCTGGGCTGGGAGCCTAAACCTTGGGGTCAGGGAGTGAAAGGAGGTGACTTACTTCTCATTGTCGTAGTACAGCTTCCCAATGGCCCAGGCCACAATGATGGGGAAGGGCACACCTGGGGGAGAGATGGGCTGTCACAGAGCCCTCATCGGGGGCTGGGAGGCACAGGCCTGGAGGACCCCAGTGCAGCCCAGGCTCCAGGGGTCCTGGGACTACCCGGGGTGGATCTCAAACTCACAGGCCTCCTTCAAGGTGCTCCTACTGCCCACCACCCCCAAGAGGAGCAGAGGGCTATGATGCATACCCCATTGCCCCAACAAGGCCTCTATCCCTCAAGCCCCCCACCCCGCTGGCCTGAGTCTGGGCGAGGGAGGGCAGCCCGGTGGCCACCACTGCCCAAGCCTCTGGGGGGTGGGGTACTGCGCAGCTCACCCCAGCCGATGCAGATGAACACCCACTTTCGCAGCCGCTCGGTGGAGTAGGTGAGCACGACGGCTGTGTGCAGGTAGCAGCCCTCACCGAACATCCAGAAGAAGTTGGTCACGTGGAAGTAGTTGTAGGCAGCTGTCACCAACCTGCACCAGGCCTGCCACCCCACCCCCAACCGGATATGATGATGGGGGCAGGGGCGGCACCAAGCCCTGGGCCTGGGCCTCCCCCGGGCAGGACGGGGCACACCCTGGGGTCCCACTCCTGTTCTGTGGGCCCCTCCTCTGCAGGACAGGCCCACCTCTGACCTGGGCTTGGCCCGGCCTGCTCCCCACGTCCCCGCCGGGACATACCACGTTGCTCTGCTGGACCTCAGGGCTCATGGTGAGCTGGACCACGAACCAGGTGGCATTGCGCAGGATGAAGGCGGAGATGAGGTTCCAGTGGATGATGTTTCTCAGGCACCGGATGCTCCTGGCACAGCAGGACGGGCAGGTGACGGAGTGACAGGAGAGAGGATGAGGGGCAGGCTGTCCGCAAAGCCCCCACCCAGAAGTGTACATGAGGAAACTGAGGCATGGGGTGAGGCCAACTAGCCAAGTAACACAGGGAGGTGGCAGCAAGGCTCTCCTGATGCCCCATGGAGCCCTTCCTGCTTGCAGCCCACCCAGACACAAGCCCCACGCAGAGCCTGGCAATGCAGCCTGTGCTCCATTGACCGGGGCAGCTGGCTTCCTGGGGATGCCTGCTTCCCCTGGTGGTGCCTTCCATTCCCTGCCATTCCAGGATGGACAGTCACAGGGGTTAGCCCTGCTCCCAGCCTCCAGCCCTGATGCTCGGCTCCCGATCCCACCTGTCCCCATCCCTAGCTCTGCCACCTGCATCCTTGGCAGTAGCGCTGGGGCCCAGGCACCTTTGAACCTGAAAAGGGGGCACCACTCCATGAAGCCTCCACCTCTAGGGCTCCATCTGCCTGGTCACCCCAGTGGGAGCAGCCCAGCCTGGGTGTGGGTGACACAAGACAAACTTTGTCCCTCCCCACCATTCTAGCAGCTACTGGGGAGGGGGAAGAGCGGCTCTGCCAGATGTTCCCAGAGACCTGAGACTCCTGGATAAGCCAGCCCCTGCACCCCCTCCCAGCAACCCCACCCCAACCCAGAGCTACTCCTGTCTCTCACTTCTCCACCCTGCCCCTGCTCTAGGGCCTGGGGACAGGAGGAGGCACTGCTGGGGTCTTCTCACCTGAGCCGCAGAAAGAGGACAAAGGCCACCAGGAGGGCCACCAGGGAGATACAGTGGCCCAGGTAGTTGATGATGACTGCAACATGGTAGTGCACCTTGCTCTTTTTCTGGAGCAGGAGAGAGGGGCAGAGGTGAGGCTTCTGCATAGCTCAGCCCTTGTGCCCACTGGATGTGAGCCACTGTGTGAGGACATCGCCTGGGGGTGGCTGGGATGGAGCGGGTCATGATTTCAAGGGCCACCCCCACTTCCCGAGCACCTGCTGCCGGTCAGGCTTCACATCAGAGCAAATCCATCCAGTTTGACGTCTGTCTGTCCCTGAATCCCATGCTCTGTTCACTACTGCGTGTTGTGTCGAACTGAACCTCCACATCACGCAGGATTCCCTACTCCACACAGACTCCCCTCCAAGTGCACGGGTGCGTGTGGCCGGCTCACAGTGGCGCCCTCACACCCGCATCTGCCCATGCTTCCGCCTGATTGGAACATCAGGTGGACCTCTCAGCTGCAGACACGTCATTCTCCTGGGATTTCTCTTCTCCACCCATTTCTGAACCGAGTCACCATCTTCTTGGCGCCCCTAAAACCCTCCTGCTGCTACACAGCCTGCTCCTGCGAGCCACAAGGGGAAATCAGCAGAAACCACAGAAAAGTCTCTTTAGGCTCCGTTACTCACTTCCCAGGGCCTTCCCCATCCCTGGCCCAGCGGGATCTGTGCAGAGTGAGCCGGATCCTCTCCCGGGTCTGGAACACATTCCTCGGTTTATTTCTCAATGAATTAAGTATACCGGTGGAGGTCACTGCCCTCCTCTTTCCAGCAATCTTAAGTTCCAAAAGTGATGAAGCCTTCCCACTTAACAGAGGATTTTCACATCTGTTATCGTCTTAAACTGCCAGGGCAACCCCGTCGGGAGCGGGAAGGGTGTCTGGGCTTTATTTTGTGGGTGAACAGCACAGAGGTTATGCAGATGCACTGGAAGCCAAGCAACATCAAAACCACCTCCTGCCTGCATGTGCCAACTGGCAAGATGCGAAGGCTGAAACAGGTCCCCAGCCCATCACATGGGACTGGCCAGTCCCCATGCCCAGCTCCCTGCAGACCCCTGCCCAAGAGCAAAGCCCTCACCCACACTCTTACAGGTCCCAAGAAGCAAGCAGGGCCTGGAAACTCAGAGCTTGACACGCAGTAGACCTCCAACGCAGTGTGTGAGTGAAGGAAGGAGGGACAGGTGTTGGAAAGCAGGTGGCTTTGAGAAGGGAGGGGTCCCTGGCAGCACCTCCCTTCCTCCCGATTTCCGGGTTCTGGGGTGGGGCTGACAGATGATGAGGCACAGAAATGGGTAACGTGCAAGTACCGAGAAGCGGTGAGCTCACAACGGCCCTCATCATCCTCTCAGAGCCACCAAGGAGCTCCTGGCCCTTCACGGGCCTTCCTGTCAGAATTAGAGAACCCACGAAACCAGAGACCAAGTCCAGCCCTATCTACCAGGCATCCCAGGAGGAGCCAAGGCCCTTCTGAAGGGGCATCTTCACTGGGGAACCTCTCAGCTCCAGAGGCTCCTATAGAAACTGTTCTTCGAGCTGGTTTCGAGGCAGGCTTGCTGGAACATGGCAGGAAATCACATTAGCAACTCCAGCCTCCAAAGGGCTGGGATCCAGGGAGGTGTGAACGAAGGCAGGAGAGAGAGAGACAGAGAGGGGAAGCGAGGGGAGGGTACCCATCACCCACCCATGTAAGAGGGGAGGATCTCTAAGCGCCTGGTGGCAGAGGCCCCAATCCAGAGGCTCTGGAATATATGCACATATCACAGGCTGTCTGGAGCTGGTATTTAATATCCTTTTATTAAATTTCCCACAAATCCATGCTGAGAAGCCCCTGGGTAATGACAGCATGTGTGGAGCCGAGCATGGCACGACACTCCTGCCTTGTTCGCAGGACGAGCACAGCATGCAGCGAGACCCTTCACTGTCCCTTGCCAGGGCCTGGCCTTGCCCCTGAGTCAGGCCACGCCAGGCCCTTGGGGATGGAGTGGGGAGGAGTCATCTATTAAGCACCTGCTGTATGCTGAGCCCTGTGCCAGGAGCTCAGCAGACACCAATGCTTTTCTTTCCCACAGCTGCCCTTGGAGACTGACCCTCTCATCCCGTTCTTCCCGTGGAAGAGGCTGAATACTTGGCCACGCCATGTATCTAGAACCTGGGTCTGCCTGGCATTGAAATCCCTCTTTTCCCTGTTTCCCTGGGACATTTTTTTTTTTTTTTTGGGTCGGGGGATGGAGTCTTGCTCTGTCACCCAGCCTGGAGTGGTGGGATCTTGGCTCACTGCAGCCTCTGCCTCCTCAGTTCAAGTGATTCTCCTGCCTCAGCCTCCCGAGTAGCTGGGATCACACGCATGCGCCACCACGCCTGGCTTAATTTTTGTATTTTGGTAGAGATGGGGTTTCATCATGTTGCTCAGGCTGGTCTCAAACTCCAGAGCTCAGGCAATCCGCCCACCTTTGTCTCCCAAAGTGTGAGGATAGAGGTGTGCACCATTGCACCCAGCCCCCTGGGACATTTCTTGGGGGGCCTTGAGAGACTCCCAGGAACACCCTGAGAGGTGGCCAGTGACACCTGGAGAGTCAGCAGCACCCCCAGGGACAGCCAGTGACACCCCGACCGATGGCCACGATGACAGCAAAGCAGCTGGGAAGTCCACAGGACACAGCCACCCCTGGGGCCCTGACCAGCAGCACTCCATCTCTGTCCAGTTTGGAGACCTAAGACCAGCAGGCACCCCACCCTAAGGAGGGTGGCACAGCATGGCACTCGGCAGAGCCCACTCCACTGTACCCTCAGTGACCCGAATCGAATAAGCAATTAGTGCCGTGGACTCTCTGCAGAACACCACCTCGTCCCAGGTGCTGCAGTGCCAGACCCGTCCTGATGCCTCGCTGGGACAGTAGCAATGAGACCTCCCTTTCAAGTTCCCCCCTGGTGCTCCCTCCATTCTGGCACCTCCTCTCCACCGAGGCTTCCAGAGCAACTCCTCTTGCCTCGCAGCGGGCACTCACTCTGGCCCCTTGATCCTCAAAGGGCCCTGGCCCAGCAACTGCACATGGAGACGCTGGCAGTGATGGTGAGGAGAGTGGGCTATAGGCCCTACCCCAGGCCCACAGAATCGGAGCTTTGTTTCAGGAAAAAGCACCTTCACAGTTTGCCTCTCCCCACACGATGAGCAGTGAACCTTGGCCCACAAACCCAGACCCCAGAATCCGTTTCATGTCTCACCAAGGTGTGGTCTCCCAGACTGTGCCTGAGCCCCGGCTCCTGTGCTCAGCAGAGCGTGGGGAAAGGGGATGGTGTGTGTGCAAGTGTCAGGGATGGGGAAGAGTCGGATGGTGGGGAAGGGAGAGAACATAGTGGAGGGAGAAGGTGTTGATACCGGGTGTGGGGGGCATGTAGGGTGGTGCTGGGGGCTCAGTGCCATCCCCGGGCTAGCCATGCATGCAACAGGCTCCCCACTTGGGGGCCTGTCCCTGGTGGTGCCGGCTTTGGACAGATCTCCTGGGGTACCTGGCCTTGGGGTACCCTCGCAAGTCCCAGGTCACAGGCAGACTTCTGTGAATCCATTATCTACAATACCCTAGGGCGCTGGAGCTTAATTAGGGCTTAGTCCAGGTCCAGAGCTGAGAAAGCTGCCACTCAAATGGGGGCTGCTGAGTGTCTCCCTCAGCCAACTGAAAGGAAGGGGCTTACATTAGAGCAGGAGAGACGGGTGACCCACGAAGACCCCACCTCAGGAGGGTGGAGTGCCGGGAGTGAGGCCGGGACCAGCGGTGACAGACTGTGCGGCTGGCGGCCTGGCCTCGGGCCTTGGCTGTGCCTCCTCCCAGCCGCCTCTTTCTGGCATGGTGTGTGGTCCTGAGTCACCGACAGCACTGACTCGCTTTCCTTTCCCCCCACGTCCTCTACTGTGTGCCAGGCTATGGGTCCCACATCCCTGAACGGTCTTGCCCACTCCCACCCCCGAGCCAAGGCCATGTCCTCTGGCCCAACTAAGTCTCCTAACCTGGAACCCCAATTCCTTCCCCCGGTCCAGGAGGAGCCCTCCTCCCAATCCCAGGGCTTTCCAGGTGGACTCTGTGTGGGGGCTTAGCAAGCTGGGGGCTTTCTCTGCTCAGGTCAGATCATGAGGGAGCCCAACCAACCCACCCCAGCCTTGAGTGCCACCCGAAGGTCTGGCCTGTGGGATCTGAGATCCAGGCAGCCCCCGTCCTGCCAGAGCAGCACCAGGGAAGAACTCATCATTCTTTTACGCTAGGCACTGACCTATCTGCAGCTTCTAGAAGGAGACAGCAGAGTCCGAGTTAGCTCAGTGACTTGAGGCCAGGAAGCCAGGGGTGGGGCTAACCAAAGCATGCCAGGCCAGGGTGGGAGCTACAGGTGGAGGAAAGCGATTCTTCCTCCGTTAACTTTGTTTCACTCCAGATACCTGGCAGTGGGCAAAGCAGAGCCTGAGCTTCAAAGCCCAGGGTTCCAGGCTCTGACTCACTCTGGCCACATGACCTTGTGTTACTCATTCCGCTTTTCTGGTCCCCAGTCTCCTTGTCTGTAATGTGAACGGGTTGCACTAGATTAGAGTTTCTGGCTTTTGCCCCATCAGAAGGCTCCCTGGGGGCACTCATTAAAGACACGGATTCCCAGGTCCTCCCTGGACAGTGTGTTTCTTAGGTGTTGGGTGTGGCCCCGGAGCCTGTATTTGGACGAGTGCTCTGGGCGATTTTTTTCTTTTTTTTTGATGGAGTCTTGCTCTGTTGCCTAGGCTGGAGCACGGTGGCATGATCTTGGCTCACTACAACCTCCGCCTCCCAGGTTCAAGCGATTCTCCTGCCTCAGCCTCCTGAATAACTGGGATTATAGGCGCCCACTACCACATCTGGCTAATTTTGTATTTTTAGTAGAGACGGGGTTTCACCATATTGGCCAGGCTGGTCTCCAACTCCTGACCTCAGGTGATCTGCCTCTGGGCGATTCTTATAACCAGGCAGGTCTGGGAACCTCAAGATGGGAGGGAGAGTCTCCAAGGTCCTTTCCAGCTCTGATCTTTAGGTGATGGGTTCTTGCGACTGCCTAGGTTGGTGCATCTCTTCCACACTCAGAAGTCCGGGTCCTCAGACAGCCCGGGGTGTCCCCCCTTCTGCCCTTTGACCTCCGCCTTCCTCAGCACCCAGGGAGAAAGCGTCGGGTGGGAAAGGAGAGGGAGTGGGAGAGACTGAGGGCAGCAGCAGCTCCAGGATAGACATATTTGTGTCTCTGCCAAATGTCACCCTTCAAAGATTATTCATTGCTGCACCATTTGTAATAACCGAAGACTAGGAATAAAGACTGGTTAGAATAAATTAGGGTATATTTTGTGATATTATGCAAATGCAGAAAGAATGAAGATGCTCTTTATGTACTGATGTGGAACCATCTCCAAGACAGATGATTATATGAAGAAAGCAAGGCGTAGACTAATATGCAACATTCAGGTAAAACAAAAAAGAATACCTATATATAATTACCCGTATATGCAGAGAATGTCTCTGGAAGAACATTAGTGAAATTGGCAAAACGGTTGCCTCTGGCAGGGAATCCAGTGGCTGGGGACGGGGTGGGAGGGGACACTGTATTCCCATTTGTACCTTCTGAATTCTGTGTAAGCAACTTCTACTCAAAAACATTTAACATTTTAAAAGGTTTTCCAAGGGCTTTTTTGACCTGCACTGCTACCTACACCCTGTCCCTGGTTCCCATACAGCCCCCTGGGGTTCCAGCATCTCTCAGGCTCGAGTGGTGGGAAAGGGTGGGACTCCTGTGACCGAGTCTGGTCTCCCTTTCCACCCCCAGGACAGTCCCATGCCCAGTGCAAGCGGCTGCCCAATGAGCATGAGGAGAAGGAAGGAAGGAAGGAACAAGGACCCATCTCATCGCCATCAGAGCCTGCCCAGTGCCCCACCAGCCCAGCTCGCTCTCAATGGCTCATGGGCCATTTCTAAGCCAACGGCTCCAGCTCCCCAGTCGGCTTTGCTACGGCAGGGCCTTGACATTAGCCTCTGGCTCCGTGACTCCAAGTAGCAGGCACAAAACTACGGAGACCCTGGACCCCCCCATAAGGGCAGCCTCGCTTGGCTCAGCCTCACCTCCTCATTGAGGATCTCCTGGCACTCGGAGTAATTCACGCGGGCGGCCCAGCTGCCGTTGGCCAGGCATTCCCGGTAGCCATTGTCTGGAAAAGGAAGAGAGAGGCAGTGATGGCGGAGCAGCCCCGGGCCCCTGTCTGACCATCCTGGCCCAGATGGATGAATAGGGGGATCTGTAGATGGCCAGCCGTCTCTGCATCCATCTAGGCCAGCACAGGCACCTGCTGGGTGGGGGCTGTGTGGAGTGAAGCTGGGGAGAGGAACTTCCTTACCCCACCCCCATCTTCCTGACGCTTTTTTTTTCTTCTTTTTTTTCGAGACAGAGTTTTGCTCTCGTTGTACAGGCTGGAGTGCAATGGTGCAATCTTGGCTCACCACAACCTCCGCCTCCGGGTTCAACTGATTCTCCTGCCTCAGCCTCCTGAGTGGCTGGGATTACAGGTATGCACCACCACGGCCAGCTAATTTTTGTATTTTTAGTACAGATGGGGTTTCTCCATGTTAGTCAGGCTGGTCTTGAACTCCTGACCTCAGGTGATCTGCCTGCCTTGGCCTCCCAAAGTGCTGGGATTACAGGTGTGAGCCACCGTGCCCAGCCCTTCCTCCCTCTTTCTACTCTGCCTTCAGCAGGGGTTGGTGGCTCTCCCGATTCCCACCTGTGGGCCATGGCTCTGCCCACCCAAGCTGGCACGATCTTGCCCACAGGACTGGCCCAGGGACAGGCTTGGCCAGCTCCCTGGGATGTTTCCTTGCAAGTCCTTATGTGGTGGCAGATGACTAGGTAGGTGCTTTCCTAGAAATCTCCTATTCGGGGGTCTTGTAAGACAGCAAAAAATGGTGAGACCTCATGAGGCGATTCTCACGAGGCTGGGCATGAGTGGTGGAAGGGTATGCGGTGACAGCTCACGTGGAAGGTGATGACGGGCTTCTCATTTTGAGCCATCTGATAGAGGTGGCCGTGGGAAGTCCTCACTGGACGTGTTGCCCATGGGGGCTCAAAGTTCACGGGGCAGGTCTTGGGAAGGTCCCCAGGATGGCACTTCCCCACAGTGGGCCTCTGTTGGAAGATGGTGGAGGTCTTTTCGACAGAAAATGACAGGTGACAGGCATGTGTGGGGGGATCTCGTCACTCGGATCTGCCACAGCTGCTCCTAACCAGGCCCATGTCACTCAAGGAAGAAGGCAGGAGACATATGGGGGTTCATGCAGCCACCAGCCTGGATGGTGGCCCAGAACCTGTCACCTTCTAAGGAGATGGAGAGGGGTCCTGTGAACTGAACTGACACCTGGCTTTAGGGTCCTGGGATGGGCAGAGCTGCCCAACATGTTCCCCTCACCTTCCTTCCTGTCTACCAGGCTCGAGCTCTGGGGTCCAGAAACCCAGCTGGGAAGGGACAGAGCAAGTTCTAAATTCCATTTCATCTTCTCTGCTGGCAGAGGTCGCCCCACCCCACCCTGTACCCAGCTCTGGCATCAGTAGCTCTAAACATGCTTCCTTGAGTTAATTCTGGCTCTGACTCCAGGCAGAATTGCTTGGCAGAGAAATGAAGCCCTGAGCATCCCCACTGGAGCCTCCCTCACCTCAGGCCTTCCTATGGCTACCAAGCTGCCGGAGTCCGGGTCCTTGAGTCTAAAGCCCCATGGGGCAGAACCCTGTGAAGGTCTAGAGGCTGGGGCCCTGGGGCCAGCTCAGTTGCTGTTGTGCTGCATGAGTGACCTCTGGAACCTCCCTTCTCATTTATAAAAGGAGGGGCTGGACCAGCTGATCCCCAAGGGACCATCTAGCCTGGGAGCTGCCTCTCTGCTGGCAGCATCAGGACATGAAGGTGATGACAGGGAGCCTGTCCTGGCCTCCAGGGCTGAAAGGTAGTCGTGGCCTCTCCTCTCTCACTCCACTCCCCTCCCTGGTCCCTCTGCTGAGGAGTAGCTCAGCTGCAGCAACTAAATGGATTCTTAAAGCTCTTCCATGTCAGTGGACCGCAGTCTCGGGGAGCCTCAGGCCTTTGAGCAGAGTTGGTGAAGAGGCTGCTGACTCTCTTAATTGCCAAATGAGGGATGAGTACCGGAGGGCTCAGCCATTGGGTTTTCACAGAGGTCTGAGGGGAGGCAGAGGCGAGGTACCAGGGGAACCCATTGTCTCTGTCATGGCTGAGAAGTCCTGGGACCAGAGGCTGCTCCGAAATACCTCTAAGGAAGTCGGCTTGGGGACAGAGATCAGGTTGGAAGGGGCCCGGGGCGGTGGGACGGGATAGGTGGTGCTTGAGTTAAGAGGCAGCACAAAGTAGTGCTAAATGTGGGCCCTGGACCCAGATAGCCTAGGGTCAAATCCTGTCACTACCTTCTACTAGCTGTGTGACCTTGGGCATATCCCGAAACATGTCCGCTTCCTCCTCTGTGTTAGAAGGTCTGATTCGCGGCTCCTGCTTCAAGAGTTGAGTATTTTTAGTTAACATGCACAAGGTGCTTGGAACTGTACCTGGCATGTGATGTTGGCTGTTATTTTTATTATTGTTGTCTTGGAGCTGTATTTATATAACCTTACATGAGACTCAGAACGCGTCACTTGTCCCCACCAAAGAGTGCCGGTGGATGTCGTGGTAGGTGCCCCCTTTGCTCAACACCCTTACCCCCCTTGGCATGTGGGGGAGAGGCAGGAGTCCCACCCAAGGCTGGGCCGCCCAGAGGGAGCAGGCTTTGATGGGGAGAAAGGACCTGATCCAAAAGCAAGCAGGCCCAACAAGCGGGGAGCCGTTGCCAGGGAAGATGCGACCTCCTTGTCTTTAATTGCTGAGCTGAGCAGTCCTCCTGAAGACTCACGGGAAAATGGATATTTTTGGAAATGCTTCCCATCCCTTTGAAGATCGGATGCAGCAGGAGGGAGGGCATTAAGGAGAGGGCCTAGAAGTCCTGGCAGCAACTCATCAGTAAACGGATTAATTAGTGCCTAATGATGAGGTGCAGCTCTGGCACCCACTTGCAACTGATTGCCTGGGCGTGCTCCGCCTCATCTGGCGCCAGGGGCACCTGGAAAGGGGTCTTCCAGCCCTGCCCTGACAGACCGGCCCCATGTCAAGGGGCCATCACCCCAGCTCTTTCCTGGGATCACAGAGGGAAGCGTCCCAACCCTCCCACCCATTCTGCAGGTGGAGAATCTGAGGCCCAGAGGGGACCTATAAAAGGGCTCCTCAGCCAGCTGCAGATGCAGTGGGAATGAGAAGCTAGGACTCCTGGCTGCCACTTCAGGCAGGACTGACAAGTGGAGAAGTGTGCGCCCAGGCCCTGAGGTTAAAATGGTTATCTGGAACATGTCAAGTAAGCCTTTGGAACGGGAGTAGAGGGAGCTCATGAGGGGGTGACCAGGGCTGGCTGCAAAGGGTGACAGGGCCATGACCACAGAGAGCTTGGCAGGCCCCACCCAGGAGCTCGGGCTTGACCTCAGAGGCCATAGAACGGTGGATTCCAAGTGAGGGAGTGACCGACTCAGATCTGAAACCTGAGTCTGGGCAGTGGCACTGGGGAATGAGGGCAGGAAGGGCCAGGCGCAAGAATCACTCTGGAAGTGGAAATGACGGGAACTGATGCCTCCTCCCAGAATTCCCTCTGATGCACAGATGATGCCTTCTTCCTAGGGGCTCTGGAAGGACTCAGCCCCCAGCATCATGAGAGCTCTCATCCCTGGGTTGTGACCCCGCCTCCAGGCTCTGTGACCTCTGATAAGTTATTAGCCTCTCTGTGCCCCAATTTCTTTATTATAAAATGGGCCTGACTATACTGGGGGCTGGCCAACTGTGCACCCCTTGGACTGACCTGGCCAAGAGGCCCTTCTCCTCTTCTTCCTTTCTACACCTCCCCTGGGTCCCCATGCCCCTCCCAGCATCTCTTCTCCCTCTCCCGGGTCCCTCCCCTGGCCGGGACCTGGTACAGACACACATGGCTGCTTGATCTGGGTGCCCCAACCTCCTGCCCTACCCTGGTCTCCCAGGTCACTCCCTGGGGAGTCACTCCCTGGCTGGGTCTTCCCACTTCTCTGAGGTGGCCCCCAGCCTTAACCCCCTTAATCCATCTGTTAGAGGAAAGAGGGCAGGAGAAGAATTTGGAGTTTTGAGCTGGAAGACATCTTAGAAGCCAAGCCATCCAGCCCTCTCCATCCGCAGATGAGGGGCTGGAAGGCCACAAGGGGAAGAATGTGCTGGGCGGTCACACAGTGAGTCTTGGAGTAAACTACATGGTGTCTGTGGTCACCCCTGTACCCTCTTGGGGCTCTGAGTTCAAGACCACCAGGATCAAGGGTGTACACAGGGGGCCCCAATTGCAGGGATCTGGCCCCCACCCTCCCCTTGGGTAGGTTAGGGCCTCTGGCCCGCAGCTGTTGCTCTCTTGATAAGCAGGGACCTGAGTCATTGATGGGGAGAGCAAATTAATTCTGAGAGTGGCAAGCGGACTAGCAGGGAGCTGCAAAGCCGGGCCATGGGGGTTCTGGGCCTCCAGGGAGCCAGGTGTTTACATGAGGATCAAGTATCCGACGGACCCTGGTCCATCCCGTCCTGTCCCCACCCCACCTACGGAGTCAAGCCTCTGCCTGTGCATCTAAAACTCTGGGTCCCCTGCCTCCTGGCTGGAGGGCCTGGGGTAGCCTCAGAACCTCTCGACTCAGGGTTCTTATCCACACAGCTGGGGCTCTGATGACTTCTGTCCTGTCTCATGGTATGATAGTAGGCTCAAAGAGGCTAACGTGAAGTTTAACAGCAGAAGAAAGTGCCCCTCACCAGCTGGTGATGGGACAAGTTCCCTAACCTCCCTGAGCCCCAGTGTGACAGTGTCTTGAGAATCACCAGTAATGAGAACAGGGCACCCAGGAGAATACAGTGCTGACCTCTGGAAAACGGGGGCTATCCCACAAGAGGTATTATTGTTATTGTCATCATCGTCCTTACTTCCCCCACCTCCGAGCTCTCCCCATCCTGTCCCACCTCCCAGCTGATGGCCCACCCTCCAGCTTCTTCCTTACTTGTGGTGTTGTATCGGACACCGTAGAAAAAGGCAGGGCAGGGCCGAACCACTAGCTGCCCTGCGGGGCTGCGGGGCCAGCAGGTGCCAATGAGGTCCACGGACGCGTTGCACTGCAGTCCTGGGGACAGAGATGGCTGGTGAGGCACAGCAAGATCCCCGGCCAAGGCCCCAGGCAGGCAGAGGACATTCCAGAGTCCTGCCCACCTCCCCAATGGTTCCCACTCACACACCAACCAGGGACAGGAGGACAGCAATGACCTCAGTGCAGAAATGAGCTCATCTTATGCAGAGGAGACATCAGGGGAAGAAATCTGAATCTGGTGCTATGGTACTAGGGAGCCAGCATGGGTTCCAGAGCAGAGGAGGAACAGAGATGGACAGGTGGTCTTAAAAGTGAAGCTCCTGGCATTTAGAGGAAGGCTGGGCATGCTTCAGGTCCCCTGCTCTGTAGCCTGAGGACACTTCTCTTGGCCCCTCACAGGGTGACAGCCTGGAGCTCTGAAATGTCACAGGAACACTGGAATAGGCCCAGCCAACCACTGATCCAGCCCTTCGCATGTCTCTGCAATCAAACCCTCTACCCTGGCCCTGCCGGGAAGAACCAGCTAAATGAAGCTGGCCCTTCCTCTAGCTGGCCTGCTAACCACGCTGACTGACCATATATCGTGTGTACTTTGTTCTGTGCAGGGCCCTAAGACGGGACTGATGGAGAAGTGCAGCTATGGAGGGGAAACGGAGGGAGACACCAACTGGGGGAGTGGAAAGGGCACTGAACTGGGAGTCTGGCCCAACAGCTTCAGAATGGGCTGTGCCACTAATTTGCTGTGTGACTACAGGTGAGTCATTTGCCCTCTCTGGGCCTTAGTGTATTATCTTCCTCTATAACAAAATAGTGGTTGAACCAGATCCGAAATTCTTAATCTCAGCCTACCAGAAACCTCAACAGTTCCCAGAGACCTTGAACGTAATGAAAATACTGGTATATACATTCATGTTAACAGGGAAGGGGGCCCATGGCTTTCATGAGATTCTCAAAGGGGTCTATGACTCAAAGAGATATTAAAAACCTGAACCAGAAAGAGGATGTCAAAGACCCCTTCTAAATATTTGCTTTTTGGAGGGGGTGGAGGAGAGAGAGAGAGAGACAGAGACAAGGAGAGAGGAGAGGTGTATGATGTATGATGTTGGGGCAGAGTTGAGGCCCCAGTGACACTTCAGGAGGGGAGGGGGATATGGCCTCCAAGAGGTGGGTGCTGGCACAGTCCTATCACCCCACTGAGGCTGCCCCTTCTTTCTCTGCCTTTTCGTGCCTCCCTCTGAGTGAGGCTAGCACACCAGTCCTTTTGAGCCCCAGTGTCCCCAGGTTAATAACCTAGAATTGGCACAAGAATGGACAGACAAGCCAGAGGGGGCCATGAACCACGAACGCGTGTGGGTGGGGGCAGCCTCTTCAGGCTTGGGCCGAGGCCTTAGCAGCTGCCAAGCCCTGGCTGGGGCCTGCCTGCCATCTCCTCCCCAGATTAGCTTGTCCCCAATCTCTCAGGAAGCAGCACTGGGTTAAATTGGCTGCCTTTCCCTGCTGGACTCAGGGCAGTGCCGAGCAGCACTTGTACCAAATGCTGGTTTTTCTTTCTAATCAAAGCTATTCATAGGGCATTTGTGCAAATCAGGACTCAAGGGGCAGAGGCCTTCAGGCCAAGTGGCTTAATTGAAAGAGAAAGAAATCTGGATTGGGGCTTAATGGACACGAGGTAACTTCAGGCCAGGCGGCTGGAGTGGGCCAAACCTGGGTGCTGGGCCACAGCGGAGTCTGTGAATGTCATCATGGAGCAGCGGTGGAAGCCGAGGTGACAAAGCAGGGCCATCTGTGTCAAGGGTGTGCCAGGTTGGTATTTTAACCTGTCCTGGATCCTGCTGACACTGCTGAGGCTGGGGATGGGGTAGAGCGGGGGCATGTGGCCGTGGAGAGGGGAGGAGCGTATTAGGGGCCATGCCCTGCTGTTTCAAAGTTCTTCATCTATTTTGTATGATCTTCATACATCTGGCAATGTTATTATTTCCTTTTTACAAATGAAGAAATTGAGGCCCAGGGAAGTTAGGTGACTTTTCCAAGGTCACAGGTCAATGGGTGAAAGAACCAAGACTCATAGGCAGGTATTTTGAACTCTAAATCTAGTGCTCTTTCCATTACACCACAGTGTGAGTCAATCACAGAGGGTGAGGGACAGTTAAGGGGGCAGCAGGAAGGGAACAGCGTTTGCTGAGGGCTGACCGTGTGCAATGTCAGGTGGATGACATATGCTACCTTATTTAATGGCACCATTGTACCTTCCTAGCTTGCTCATTCACTCCTCGCTCATTCATCCACAGAATCCAGTGAGCTAGGCTTAAATGGGATGCTCCATGTGGTGCATCTGGAATGAATGCACAGAACACACCCTCTCTGTCAGTTTGGCACCTGCCCTCCCTTCTTCCCTTCCCCTTCCAGTGCCCCAGATCTGCTTTTGGAAGGCACGGAGGGCAGGGAAGGACTGGGCACCAGTCGCAGCCAGGACCAGGCCAGAGCCAAGGCAGAAGTGGGCCACTCAGGATGGGCCTCCCGGCCTGGAGGACCTGCACCGGCCTCTGCTGGGAGCTCTAAGGGCTCTCACCAAAGGCATGACCCTGTCCACAGCTGGCCCGGGACGTGGAGACCCTCAAGGGGTGGGCAGGTCAGAAGCCATTTGCCCCTCCTCCATGGTACGGTGCCCAGCCACCTCCTATGCCACCGTGGGTGCTAACTCTCTCTGTTTTACAGAGAAGAAAACTGAGGCCAAAGCGGTCAAATGGCTTATTCCAAGACAATCAGTACCCGAAGATACTGAGACGGGAGTGGATTTTTAATGCTCGCCTTTTGATGCCAGCTCAGGGCGCTGCCCACAGCTGCACAGCTGGCACCGATCTGGGCAGCTGCCCCTCGAGCGAGCTGCGCCCCGGTCTTGGCGACTCCGGCTCCCCAGCAGCACCGCGCCTCCCCCTCCCTCCTGGCCCCCGCGGCTCATAAGGATGCGTGGAGGCGGGTGCTGGGGACACAGCAGCGGACGCGACCTTTACTTTAAGAGCCCAGAAAATCCTGGAAGGAATTGAAAGTCAGTGTGAGACGGGAAGAAAGGGAGGGAGAGGCTGCAAGAACGGAGAAAAGCCAAATGAAAAGGGGCGAGGAGACAAAGTTCCCCCTTCCCCGAGTGAAAGGTCAGCAAGACCGCAGGGGTCTAGGGCTGGAGGGGCGGGGGCGGGAAGGGGGCGTGGTCATAAGTTCGAGGGCCAATCAGGAGCGGGGATCCGGTCCCCCAGCAGAAACACCTGCAAGAGGTGCACTAGGGATTGGCCACGTGTTTTTGGGGAGCAGATGGAGGAGGGAGAGGCTGGGAGAGAAGAGAGGAGCAAAGGAAGGGTAGAGGAAGAAGAGAGGGGACCTAGAGGCCAAGAGCAGGGAGGAGGCAGCAGGACAGGGCCTCAGGCGCCACACTCCTGGCCAGTAGGCGCTGTCCATTGGACTTCCCGGCCCGGGACTGCCTTGTGGGCTCAGTGCCTTCCCACAACTTGCTCTGCCTCCGGGGAGTTGGCAGCTCCCACACTAGATTTCAGAGGGCCGTCCTGCGCACACAGCGTCAGGGGAGGAGGACAGTAGAGATCCCTGGGATCCGGTAGAGATAAGGCCTCAGAAGGGAAATGGTGTATAGGACTTGAGGGGGAGCATTTGTTGGACACTACTATAATACATACCAGGCACTGCGAAGCGTGCTTTGCATGATACAATTCATGCCACTCATTTAAGCCACCTGACTACACTGAGGAGGAGAAAACAGATGGAGGAGGAGCGGGGTGGGAGGCCAAGCGGGCCAGGAGAGAGGTGGGGAGAGAGAGAAAGAAGAGGGAGAAGACACTAAGGAAGAAATAGGGAGAGGCAGGCAGAGAGTCAGGGGAGAAGCACACAGAAAGATCATTTCACGGGTGCTGGGGACAGAGAGGGTGTCTAGCCCCTGGTTGGGAAGGGGAGAAGCAGGAAGTCAGTTCTGTGTTACTCAGCTTGGTGGCTGTAAGGACCTCAAGGACCTGTAGGACTCCGATTCTTGGGCCAGTGTCCCCTCCCTCCAGGTCCCAATGCCAAAAAGCCTGACCTCTTCTGCTCCCAATAGGTGGAGGTATTTTCCCACCCAGATGTCATAGTCCTGGGATGAGGAGCAATTTGGTTCAGAGTAAGCCAACCTTGCAAATAGCCAAGCCAGTTTTCCAGCCAGCTGGACAAAGGCAGAGGTGCTGTTAGGAGCCAACGCCTCCGGACAGCTCCCTGTCCCGCAGTGCCTCTCCCGGTCAGTTAAGGAATAGTGACTTTGCTCCTTAACAAGTAGTTGGTTCTCCATAGCCGTAAGTTTTGGGGGAAAGTGTACTGAACACATACAGACTTTTTTCTTGTCATTCTTCCGTAAACAGGACAGTGTATCAACTGTTTATGTTTCCATAACATTTACATTGTATTAGGTATTAGAAATAATCTAGAGATGATTTAAAGTATCCAGGAGGATGTGCATAGGTTATATGCAAATACTACTCCATTTTCTTTCAGTGACTTGCTCATCCCTGCGTTTTGACATCCATGGGGAGTTCTGGAACCAGTCCCCCATGGATACCAAGAGACAGCTGTTACTTACTGACTACCTAAGAAATGTTCAAGGGGCTTGGTAACACCCTGTCCTCATGGTGCTTACATTCTAGTGAGGAGACAGCAAACACACACACGCACACTCACACACACATTTCTGTTAACCAGTGAGAAATATTATGGAGAAAAACAAAAAGTTCGAAGAGATGAAGGCTGACAAGGGTGCTATCTTGCAAGGGTGGTGGCTTCTGAAGTGCTACCATTGAGTCAGAGACTGAAAGGAAGCAAGGGCGAGAACCTGGAGGGGGCAGAGGCAACTACAAGTGCAAAAGCCCTGGAGCAGATGTGTGCTTCCTGTGTCTGAGGGTCAACGTCCTGTCACGCTGTGGCTCACTCTCTCATTCGTGGGGCAGATAGATGCCTTCAGGGTCTTTCCTGGTTGGAGATGTGGGAGTGGAACCAGCCCACTCACCAGCCCTGGTCACCACAGGCCTTCAGGTGGGGGCTGAGCTGGGGGAAGTCAAGCAGGCTAAAGTAATGCAAAAACCAGCCCTATACCTTCCTCCTTCCCCACACATACACAGAACAAATGCATGAGGACCGCATCCTGGTCAGAGTGCCTCAAATCCCTGCAAAAGGAGAGCAGAGGAAAGGGGGCAGTGTGGAGGGCTCCCACCTGCTGGGGAAGAAACCCTGCTGGGTCAGAGTCCTGGGAGGCCTGCTTTAATGAACAGGTAAGAACCCTTAGAACATGGCCTATTTAATGCTGTGTACAATCGGGCACTGGCTTCTTTCCCCAAGTAAGTTACACAGTTTCCCTCCCATCAGGCTCAGGGGCCACATGCGCTTGGCAGATCCACCCATGGTGGATAACTTCAGAGGGAAGCTGGAACCTGGCTCTGCCCCAGTTATGTTGGCTCTCCCATCAGCAGCTTCTGGAGGTGGGCACTTGGCAGCAGCCCTGTGGCTGGGAAGCCCTTCCCCCCTATTTGGCTTAAACCCAGGACGGGGGACTCAGCCCAGGATGTCCAGAGGGGAAGCGGCCAGGTGGCCCCAGGGCAGCCTGTGAAACACACATTCTTGCCCAGTCAGAGGAATGTGCTGTGGGATGAATGGGCAGGGCTCGTGCCTGGACCACCTGGCATGGAGGGGGGGCGGCAGAGAATCCTGGTCTTTGCTCGGCCATTTCATGGTGAAGCTGCCTTCTCTTTGGCTGGGCAGAGGAGAAAGATGCCTGTGTAGGATGGGTGACCCATCAGGACAAGTGGATGGCGCTCCTGCCCTGTGGTTTGTGGGCTTTTCAATTTTGCCTTCCCAGCAGCTAGTACAGTGCCAGGCATATACAAGGCACAGAGGAGAATATGGGGCCATGTGCAAACCCAGTGTGGATATGGAAAACTGCAGGGGTAACACTGCAGCCCTAGACAGCTGACTACACTGGGCCCTGGGCACCCTGGTTCTGAGTGGCCACATAACGTGGTGCCAATAGTAACATCTGAACCCAGGCCCACATGGTTTATATCTTGCAGCCACTGCTTAGTGGCTTTGGGCAACTTGTTTAACTTCTCTGAGCCTTAGCTTCCTCTACTGTAAAATGGAATAAAATTATTTCCTGACTATAGTATTATAATGATTGAATGAGATTAAGGCACTTGGAATGGTACCCAACACATATCGGGCACTAAATAAATATTAACTCTTATTATTACTATTTGAGACAGAGTCTCCCTCTGTCACCCAGGCTGGAGTACAGTGGTGCAATCTCGGCTCATTGCAACCTCGGCCTCCCGGCCTCAGGAGATTCTCATGCCTCAGTCTCCTGAGTAGCTGAGATTAGAGGCATGTGCCACCATGCCCAGCTAATTGTTTTATTTTTTATTTTTTGTAGAGACAGGGTTTCACCATGTTGGCTAGGCAGGTCTCAATCTCCTTACCTCAAGTGATCTGCCTGCCTTAGCCTCCCAAAGTGCTGGGATTACAGGTGTGAGCCACCATGCCCAGCCTAGCTAATTATTATTATCCTTCATTACCTTAAGACCAGAGATAGAACTGATGACCCCAGGTAATTGTCAACTCTGATTCTATTCGTCGGTGATGTTACTAGTAAATAACTCTATTTCTTCCTGGCATTGTTATACTCATGCCATAATTTTATGAGTTGCCAAGTCTGTGGCCTGCCACATGATGGGCCTCAGCCCTGGGGACCCACTCCTCTCCCAGCTCCTGGCATGAGGCACATTGAAGGCCCCCCAAAGACCCTGGCTCCATGCCAGCTGCCCCGGCCAGACGCCTACCCATCTGTCTTGGCCCCTCCGCCCCACCCTCACCATCTGTCTCTACCAGTGCCTGTCGGTCTGGGTAGGACTCCAAGTCAGAAGACAAATGGTCCATTATCAGAGGCCACTGTGGAGGGTGATGGATTGCGCACCATGCAGCCAGGCAGGCTGGGCTGGAGGCATGGGCACGGGGTACAAATCACCGTGGAATGAATGCCATTCATCATGGCCTGCTACCTGCAAGGACAGGTGACACCTTCGTGGGCTCAGGGATGTCACTCCTGACATAACAAACACGTTGATAGAGCCTGACCTGGCCTAAGGGCTGGGGGGCTGGGGATAGAGCTTTTCCTCACCGGCCCAGCCTCTGAGCAAGCCTCCTCCCTCCCCATCTCTCCCTTCTAGAACTCCAGACTCCTGCTTAAGGGCTTACTTCCCCATTCCCCATCACAGGTGAACCAACTTTGCAGCCAGATGCTGAGGGCTCCTTGTACCTTCCCAGGCTTCCCACTCCTCCCTCCTGACTCCTCCCTGGTCCTTCCGCCAAACCCACCTACCGGTCCTTGCTCACCTCTTGGTGTAGGGCACAGCTCTGGCTCTTTCCTGCCAGTTCATACTAAGGGTGTCTCTTAATATTCACCTTGAAACTTCCTCCTTCAGGAAGCCTCCCTGGATTTGCACCACCCCTGCCTAGCCTCCCTGCTCCCTCCGTCATTATGAGCAATCACTGGCAAGTTCCTTCCCTTCATTCCAGCTATACAGTAAGCCTTTTAAAAGCCTGCTGAGGCTGAGACAGGAGGATCACTTGAGCCCAGATCCGGGCTGCAGTGAGCTCTGATTGTGCCACTGCACTCCAGTCTGGGCAACAGAGACCCTGTCTCTACAAAATAATTTTGAAGAATTGCCGGATGTGGTGGTGTGCATGTGTAATCCTAGCTTCTCAGGAGGTGGAGATGGGAGAATTGCTTGAGCCCAGGAGATCAAGGCTGCAGTAAGTTACGATTGTGCCACTGCACTTCAGCCTAGGTGACAGAGTGAGACCCCATCTCTTACAAAACAAAACAAAACCTAGTATTGGCATGACGCTGTATGGTTTACAGTTTGTGAAATATTGCCATAAAACTTATGAATTGAATCTCATTGAATCTCATAAGAGATCCTTGGGGCAGGTAGCAGCCCCCCTGCCCCTCTACAAATGGGTAAAGTGAGGTGCAAGGGTGGTTGAGGGTATGCTCATCCCTGTGGCTACCAGTACCCGCCCCAGCCAGGACATGACCAGGCACCTTCTCTGAGCCAGCACAGGAACCCAGTGTGCCTTCTGCAAGTCCAGGGCTTGTTTCTCTGCCACCAGGCTCTCCCTAGTGAAGGAACAGCTGGCCAGGAAGCAGCTGCCCTGAGCTGTGGAGGCCTCCTGTCCCCCCAGAGCCAGCTTCAGAAACCAATGCCTCCTGCCTTCCTGCACACTTGTGACTGTTCTCCGCTAGTATACATCTTGCTCCCTGCCTCTTCGCACATGCATTTGTGGACTCAACTCCTGGACGAGACTGTGAGCCCCTCTTGTTTCGCCCAGTTTCCTGCATAGGGCCTGCTGTGTAGTAGGTGCTTCAGGAAAGAGTTAGTGTGCATCAAGGAGAGGCTTGAAGACTTAAATAGAAGGTCCACACGCCTCCTAAGTCTCCTCAGGTGCAGGGATCCTCTCCATTTTTGCCCAGCAGCAGCCATGCCCAGGACCACACCCACAGTTTTAAAAGACATGCCCTTTGGAGCCCAAAGACCTAGATTTGGGTCCCAGTCACTGCCATGTACTGGCTGTGCGGTGCCATGGGGGTTATGTAACTCTTCTGTGCCTCAGTTTCCTCAACCATACAAATGTCAGGCTTTAAACTCGTGTGAGGATGAAATAAGATGATTATGAAAAGCACTCTGTTTATGGTAAAGTGATGCAGATCCTAGTAATGTCTGCAGCCGTGCTGTCTTTCCCACTGGAGAGGTAGAGAGCACAGTGTTATCACAACCGGAAGCCAGGCTGCTGCGCTCCACTCAGGGCTCCGGCGCTTACTGGTTCTCTGCGCCTCAGTTTTCTTATGTGTAAAATAGGGACAACAGCACCTACTTTAGAGAGACATTGTGCAAATTGGGTTAACATAGCCCCAGTCCTTGGTCAGTGCCTGGCACGTGTTGGCACCCTGCAGTATCACACTCTGGGCATTTTTAGCTGCAGATTGTGGCAGCCTTTCTTCCTCCCCTGATGCCTCCTGGAGTCACAGCTCAGCAGCAAGGGCTGGGGTGTCTTCACCTGTGCCCATCCTGAAGCAGGGAAGATAACTACTCAGAATCCTTGTTGTAAGCTCCCCCTGGGTCCACAGATGCTACTAACCAACTGCAGCTCCTTCCCACCAACCTTACACCCAACTGCGGGATCCTTCTCAACACGGCGCTCCGAGGAGACTGAAGAATTGCTTGGAGCCCTAGAGAGGATGAGACTCCGCAAATCCTGCCTTAGCTCATGGTTCTGTGTGCAGACCCTGGGAGACCTGGGGTGGTGGCATTGTGGCAACCAGAAATCTTGCAGGAGGGGGTTGAAGGGGCTCACCTGAGATGTTGCCAGCCAGGGACAGGCTCTCGCAGTGCTGGTCTTGGAGGGAGGTGGAGACGGGGTTCAGCCCCAGAAGGAGAAGGGCCTGCAGGCACAGGAGGTGAAGGACATGTTAAGCAGGGGCCATGAGCCATGAGCCATCCAGCCTGCAGCTACCTGCTCCCTTTCCCACCCGTCACTCATCCACTTGCTTCCCAGACACCCGCCCCTCATCTCCTCTCTCCTCCCTCTGGGTCCTCTTTGCCTGGAAGGTCTGGAGTTGCCCTGTTTTTGGAGGGGCCTGGCAGGGAAGCTGACAGGAACAGGAACCCAGACTCCTAGGAAAGAGGTGAATTTTGCCCCTAGGGGCTGGAGCGCTGCCAGACTAAGCCACCTCCATCCCCATGGGATCTTGAGCATGGCCCAACGGTGCACCTCCACATACACCTGTGCACGCCCCATACCCTCACTGGCCCACAGAGCACCATGGCTTCACTGATCCCCATAGGTGCACCCACTTCCCTCCCTTCCTGCAGAACTGGCCTCTAGTTTTGTGAACCGCTTCCCCAGCCCTCGTCTCCACCTGCCTAATTTTCCATCATCACAGATTGTGCCTCATCGTTGATAATGCCTTTGGACATCTGCTTCGGCACAATTTTCCCTGGGGCTGGTGTGGCTGTGCCTATTTGCAGATGAGGAAACTGAGGCACAGAAAGGTTAAGGGAAAAATGTGTCTGGAGAGATGGATGCCCTATTCTAGGGAAAACCTTTGCCCTTCAATCTCCTTGAAGGCTCCGTGTCACTCTGATTACAGAATTTCAGCCCAGATGGGAGGGGAGCGGCATAGGCCCTGTACCTGGAGGGCTGCCCCTTCTCTCACTAAACCCACCCACACAACCATCGCATCACCCGCCTCCCTATAGGGTTAGAGTCAAGAGAGAGACCGAGTGTCCAGGGCCCCATTTCACTGTGTTGCCATGGGCAGGTTACTTGACCTCTCTGTGCCTCTCTGTGTCCTCACCCGTAAGAATGGGCATAACTGTCCACCTCCTTTCAAGCTTACATGATGTATGTATGTAAAAGTCCTCACAGCACTGCACGCTCTGTGAGGGCAGGGACTTTCTTTTGTTCATTGCACTCAAATTTGCTGAAGAAATGAATGACTGAGATTGTGTTTCTGGTATACAATAGGCACTCAAGAAGGATATATTGACTGATCTGAACTTGGTGGTTTTTATTTAGTTGTTGGAGGAGAGGTGGCTATTTCCCCTGGGATTTGATTCAAAAGGGGTTAAGAAACATGAGTGAGGGGCAGGGAGAGGGGAGCGTTGTAACCGGCCCTTCCCTCTGGCTGTGGGGAGCTGGGTGCCCGGTTACCAGCAGAGTTCCCAGACAGGATGGTAAGCCCAAAGCCTGAGAGGCCTCAGGGGAGGCCACTCTCCTCATCACCACCTTCACTTCTCTGCTGTTTCTTCTTGGGGTCCCCTCCGTCTGAGGCCCCCTGACCCCACGGCCAGGTGTCTCAGCCCCACCCCATTTCTGTACCAACTGCAAATTTCACTATAGACCCTTAGCTCTGGAAGCCGGCTTAGGATTTCACAGCAGGAAAATGAGACTGGGAGAGAGGTAGGGGCTTGTCCCTTGGTGAGCAAGCTGCTAGGCTAGGATGTAGGCTAGAAGCAGGGTGGTGGCCAGCCCAGGCAGCACGCAGCCTTCCTGTGAGGGGCTGGGACTCCACATGGTGAGTGCAAAAGCGAAGGGAGCATCAAAAAACTTAGTAGTCAAGATACAGAATATTTTCACATAATTATTTTTTAAATCAAAATTAGCGATAGAAAATACATGACGAGTAAATTATTGAAAACTTTTTAAAGAAAAGATAGGCTCAGTAACAGTGCTGGGCCATGTAGTAGTTTGGGATAAAAGGGGAAAAGTCAGCAATTATATTAAAATATCATCTATCATGGCCGAGTGCAGTGGCTCAAGCCTGTAATCCCAGCACTTTGGGAGGCTGAGGTGGGTGAATCACTTGAGGTCAGGAGTTCAAGACCAGCCTGGCCAACATAGTGAAACCCCATCTCTACTAAAAATATAAAAATTAGCCAGGTGTGGTGGTGGGAACCTGTAATCCCAACTACTCAGAGGCTGAGGCAGGAGAATCACTTGAACCCGAGAGGTTGAGGTTGCAGTGAGTCGACATCATGCTACTGCACTCCAGCCTGGGAAACAGAGTAAGTCTCAAAAAATATCTATCTATCGTGATTACTGAGGTTGCTGGCACCTCCTCTAGTGGTGGGCTTGAGGAAATACCTCACTTGCTTCACCCCGGGTGGGCCCTGCTCATGCACCATCTTCCATCCCTCCAAGCCAGACTCCATCCCTCCATCACTGCCCGTCCCATACTCCAGGGTTGTCCATTCTCTCTTCCCTGGACCCCTCTTCACTGGCCCCTTTAGGATCTCGGGACCTTCCCCCAGTCCTTAGAAGCAAACTGACTCCCTTTTCCATGTTCACCTGCTGGGAATGTTCTCCTTTATCCCACCCCACCTCACCCCACCAGGGCCACCCCCTTTCATGGCACCCACTCCCTCCCACTGCTGTCCTGATGATGAAGGCAGACTCTGCTCCCCTCCCTCCAACCCACATTCCAAGGTCCAGGAGAATAGTGCCCACTCCTGGTCAGAGCCTGGTCCCCCCACCCATGACTCACCCACATGGTCCCCTGAGTCTGTGGTGCCTGAGTCTGTAGTGGCTTTGTTCACTCCATTCCCTTGCTGGCACTGTCGTAGGGGTCTCTCTGCCCTGGACCAAGCTCCAGGCTCTGAAGCACAACCCCAGCCCCACACCCCCAGCCTGTGCTCTGCACACGGGACACTCAGCAAGATGGCATTGGGGTTATCCAACTCGATCCTGGGACTCAGAAGTGATGATAACAAACTAATTCATTTCTCTGGCCTCAAAGAACTTCCAACATTTTATTAATCAGTAATTAAACTTCACAGTCTCCGGAGAGATGGAGAAATATTTTTGCCCTCATTTTCCAAGTGAAAATGCAGAAGTAGAGAGAGGAGGAGGCCACCAGGCCAGCCGGTGGCTCTTGCTAGCTAAGCAGAAAGCTAAGTGTCCTCCTCATGACAAAGCTGCGCTGCCTGCTCAGTAATCAGCAGGGACCCAGATGCTGCCCTGTCCCCAGAGAGGGGCAGCTCCTTCTAGAAGAGACTAGAAATCCTCACTTCCTGTTTCCCACCCTATATCTCCCCATGCCACCTCCCCGCCCCTTTCTCTCTCTTTCTCTCTCTCTCTGTCTCTCTCAAACCGGGGGTCCCAGAGCCAGCTCAGCCACAGGCAAAGTAAAGAAACTGGTGACACTGGCCAGGCGTGGTGGCTCACGCCTGTAATCCCAGCACTTTGGGAGGCCGAGGCAGACAGATCATCTGAGGTCAGGAGTTTGAGACCAGCCTGGTCAACATGGTGAAACCTCAACTCTACTAAAAATATAAAAATTAGGTGGGTACCATGGCCCACGCCTGTAGTCCCAGCTACTTAGGAAGCTGAGGCAGGAGAATTGCTTGAACCCAGGAGGTGGAGGTTGCAGTGAGCCGAGATGGTGCCACTGCACTCCAGCCTAGGTGACAGAGCAAGATTCCAGCTCAGAAACAAACAAAAAAATAAACTGGAGACATCTCCTGTTTGACAGTATCAGCCCTGATGCCTGACATTCCACTTATCCATCTAATCCTTAAGCTGTGCCTCGTGCTCTGGTCTTTAGATCTCCTGCCTCGAAGACACATCACCTTCTATTCCCACCCAATTACTTACCATCTCCCCATGTCCAGGTCCTCCTCATGTCTGCAACCCTCTGCCCATGCAGTCTGTGCCCCTCCCCCACCCTGAGTCACTTGGTCCACTCTGCATTCTTCAGAGACCAGTTCCAGGACCCGTCGCTTGGCAGCACCTGCCCAATCCTCCAAAGCAAAGCAGCTCAGTTCTCCCTCCAATGTACCCTTTTCCCGGTGCGCTCTGTACACGCATTGGACCCTGTGCTCATGAGGCTCACGAGCAGAGCCCTTGGACCAGCCCTGAGTGCAGGAAAACCACCTCGGCACAAAGCACTTGAGACCCAAGGCACTAATTAGATGGCAAATATACAGGCTAGAAGTTCTTATTCTCACATCTTAATATCCTGGTATGCACAGAGGAGCAGAGCAAATTTCGATTCATCAGAAAACCAAGCCAAATGCAATGGGCTAGTCTGCCCTTGGCTGCCTAGAACCCTGACACTTCTGTCTCTCTCTTGAATGTGATGGTTCACAAAGCCATTTTCTACCAACAGATGCCTAGTGTTGCATTATGCAAAGAAAAATGCTTCTTAAAATTCCCAGACCAACCTTTCCTCTCCAGAAAGGTCTGCTCTGTAGTAGAATCTGTGCCTGTGCCACCTCTTGCTCTGTGGAAGGTTTGTGAGGGCTTCTGCCTGATTCCTGAATCACACTTCCATGAAAAGTCCAGCGGTTTCCTGGATTTTACCTCCCACCATCTGCTGGTCTCCTTTTCAAGGTCAACTGTGGTTTTCTGTCTCCAGCAACAGACAATTACTGCACTGGCAGGGACAGGGCTCCAAAGTTTCAAGAATGTTGTTTGTTTTCCCTTAAAATGGAAAATTCTCTCTGTGTGTGTGTGTGTGTGTGTGTGTGTTTTTGAGACAGAGTCTTACTCTGTCACCCAGGCTAGATTGCAGTGGTGCAATCTCAGCTCACTGCACAGAGCGGGGCTAGAATGAAGCTGCCATCCCAATTCCCAGTGTGATTTTGGCATAAAGGTTAATCACACCCAGAAAATGCTTATTAGAGACCATAAATAACCTTGTTGCTGCAGCTCAGTTTGGTCTTTAAGGCACAAAAGAGCAATTTCCCTTGATGTGAACCGCCTCCCAGGTTCAAGCAATTCTCCTGCCTCAGCTTCCCAAGTAGCTGGGACTACAGGCCTGCACCACCACACGTGGCTAAGTTTTTTGTTTTTAGTAGAGATGGGGTTTCACCATGTTGGCCAGGCTGATCTCAAACTTCTGACCTCAAGTGATCCACCGCCTTGGCCTCCCAAAATGCTGGAATTACAGGTGTGAGCCACTGCTCCCGGCAAAAAAAAAAAAAATGAATTTTTAACTTGGGGAGCAGGCAGTGTGAAGATCTACAAATAAATGCAGCCTCTGTGTGAGATGAAAACCAGTTTCCTGGGGAGGGTTCTTGGCTTCCTTTACTTCTCACCAACAACCAGCACCCCAAAAATGGTGAGAACTGTGGTAGGGGCATATGGTAAATGGGATAAAGTAGACATGTCACCTCTGAAATCAAACCAAAGTGCTTTCGGCCCTTCTCAGATGCCTCTGGCTCCTCCACTCCATCACCAGCCCCAGCCACTGGCTGTCCTTTCAGAACCAAGTTTTCAAGCCCTCATGTGATTTACTATCTTCCACCAAGTAGAGAAAATCCAAACGGCACTGAAGCTGAAGCTGGCAGAG